GCAGCAAGTTCCTTGTCATTGCTGAGACGCCCGCTAGATGCTGACAGCAGCTGGGCGAGCTGGGCCATTCTCCCCACTGGGCCCTGTGATGTGCACCTCATCTTCCATGCTCAGACCAAAGCAGGGCAGACCCTCCAAGTCCCCCAGGAGCACCTGGTGTCAGACCCTGACATTCAGGGAAGAGGTGGGGGATGTTTGCATTGATACTCAAAAGGCCCCCAAATCCTCCTCAAGTGACTTGAGTTCTGAGATAAAACCCTGGTTTCCAGGGAATCCCTTTCATCTCACCGAACATCCCCTTGTTGTAGTCACAGCAGAGACCTGTGACTTCAAGGCATCCTTGCTACCATGCGCATTGCTCAGGCTATTATTTTTCAATACCCAGGCACAAATTAGCTTTGCTGAGAGTGGGAGGAAGTAGAAGAAAAGGCTCAGGAAAGTGTCACAGTGGCAGCTGACCCCAGGGATGGGCAGGAGGTGGCTGACCCCAGGGACTGGGCAGGACACTGAAAATAAATGAGACTCACAGCAAAGCCACACACATCACACAACCAACACACTGCACAAGTGTGATGTGACCTGCCGCTCTCTTCTACAAGTGAAAATAAATGCGAGACTCACAAATGCTTGACCTCGCTGAGGACACCACAAACCTGACAGGAAGCTTGGTGAGCAGCAGCCGGCGAGTTTGCAGTCAGTGCTCACAGCTTGGCCGACTTCCACTAGCACAGCGGATGGATGGAGGGTCCTCCCAGTCACCAGAGAGAAGATTTAACAAGTAAAAACCTGCAAACTCTTTATTAAATTCTCCCATTTCTTCTGTACAGAAAAAAATGCACATTATGTTCAGAATCTCAGTAACATCTCAAAATTACACAGCATGAACATGTAAAAACAAGGAACTGCCAAGATTTTATACATAGAAAGGAAAACCATTTACAAAAGAGACTTGTTAACTTTACTTTTCTTTTTTTTCTTTCTTAAAAAAAAAAAATTAAAGGCCTAAGATCTCCCACAGTTTGCTGCACAGTCTGTTTTCCTGCTTGGAGTAACCCGGGGACACTGTGCTGGGAGAAGCCGCTAGAAGCCTCCTGCAGCTGGTTCTCCTGCTGGCCACCCCTCTGTCCAGCGCACTGCAGGCTAACTGGCCCCTGCTCACTCCACCCTGCCTCTCTGGTCTACGGTCTGCTGGGCTCTGGGGTCCAGGTGTCAATTCTATGTTGGGGGGAAGGCAAAAACATCGAGGCACTATCTGAATTTTCTCCTTGCCCAGGGAGACTTCTCCACTGCATGTATCCCAGCACCCCTAGCTGTGCATCGTGGTGGATGGTGGGAAAGGGGCAGGAGAGGAAGCCAGTGTCAGAGCCAGCCCACCTTGTGCTCCAGATGACAAACAGTCCCGGATCTCCACAGTGATGTATCCAGATATCCTAGGGGAGCCCACCCCTCGATAATTCAGTCTGGGTTTGCTAGGGCTCCATCAGGTATCTGAGGTCTGGGAAGGAAGGGGGCTCTGACTCCACATGTGATTGCCCTGACACTTGACCCTGGTCCTAGAGGAGGGAGGAGGACCCAGGAATGTGGCCAGAGAGACGGCACAAGACAAATGAGGGAGAGAAAGGCAGGCCTGAGCATCTCTGGCTCCAGAGAGGAATCAAAGACCAGTGGTGAGAGGACAGAAGTGTCCCCAAAGGCCCAGGAAAAACTCAGGGCACCAGAATGCTGCATTTTATAAAACTACTGAGGTGCTGTCCAAATGGTGACAAATGAAAGGGAATTCTCTGATTTCGGAGGTATTTCAAATTCATAAGAATCTGAAACACAGATCAAGATAATAACACACATAATTCGGAAAAATATACTCTTTTTGTTCTACAGCCCAAATTTATGTGGAATGTGTCAGGCTGGATGAACTGGCCCCCGAAGGTTCCTATTACAGCTTTATTCTCCATTGCTTACTTAGAGTAAGTTGTATGTGGAGAATGCTGACTTGGGGGGAGGATAGAAATTGGAAGTGAAAGGCTTTTCTCAGAACTTGAGACCAGCTAAGCAGAGAGGCCTAATGAAGTCACTCACTCCTCCCCAGTGACTCACTCCCTCAGGGATCTTTGGGATAGAAGCAGTGCCATGGCCTGGACGCGGGGAGAGACAGGAGACAACCCAGAAGTCATACTCACACATGAGAGGGATGGCAGAGGAAGTCGGCACCTAACACCCTTTCTATGCTATCTGGTAAAATGTAAATGGATGCTACACATCTCTTCACCATTAGATTCTTCTATTGCGTGACCTCAGGAAATGGGAAGAAATGACATCCAAGAGCAGTTTTCTGTCTCATCTTCGAGGCAGCAGGATCCTCAGGGCGCGCAGAGGAAGACCGCTTTCCCACCGGAGCAGCCACAGCTTCTCCGGCAGCAGTAGCAGAGAGATCAGGGAGGCCAGGCTAAGGGTTGCGTGCACAGAGCTACCCTCCTGTGAGAGCTCGGTCAGAGAAAGCAGTAAGTCGTGTTCTTGACCATTTGCTGTCTCCTGTACTGCAGTGCCTCCAGCCCAGGAGAATGACTTCTCGGTGCCCTGGAGTGTTGCAGAGCTCACTGTGAGTCTCTGAGACAGGGGGATGAGCTGACAGGCCAGATGAGTTACCTGGCTGCTGTAATTTTCAGCAAGTGCCTAGAGGTTTGGCTTTGGTGAAACCCCTGGCGCTGCTGATGTTCCTTACTGTTCCCAGGTTAGACATCAGAAGGAAAGATAAAGGCAAAAGTCTACCATCAGCTCCTGCATGAGGGTCACGGTTTCCTCGCTGATTTATCCACAGTTGACTGATGAGGCCAGCAACCAGAAGTATCCCAAAACCTGTTCTGTGATACCAAATGAGTCCAGAATGGATACAGCTGGGCTGTTGGTTCAGATGGTGCTGGGCCTTGGGCATAGAAAACATGTTGAGGACAAAGCCGGGGCCTCTCAGAGCCAGTTAGTGAAGTTATTCCAAGTATGGTGATGAAATGCTTTCTTACACCAAGCAGCTGAAGAGGCTGGCAGTATCTCTTCTATTCTGATGGCTTCTGAAGGTGACAAATGTCTTGAGAATCACATTCCCTTTCAAACTTCGAAATGTGCTGCAGACAACTAATGGGATTTTTCTCTCAGTTCAGAAAGAAACATTGAGACACATGAACTAGAAGTGTTTTTACATGTATGTGGAGGGACACTGAAAGTTGGGGGAAGGTGTTTATCACCCTCCTCAATTGGTGGCATTGATCTTCCCCTGTAAACCACACCGGACAGGTCGGTGGGGCCTAGTCCTGAGAACAGCCAGTCTCGATCCCAGCCTCAGCCACCCCGCCCCGTAAGCAGCAGCCCTGGAGATGGGCTAAGTGGACCAGCTCAATGCAGTCCAGCAGTGGCGGCGGTGGGGTTGCTGCTCGGACTCTAAGAGTTTCAAGTTCTATACAAGATGCGAGAATCCCAGGCAGTGCTGAGAATCAGGAAGGCCCTAAGAACAGGACTGAGGGGACCAAGCAGCTTGGTGGCTCCCCCTTGCGACCTATACCCTTAAGGATGGGTGATGTATGGTTGGCTTCTAGAAACCACTGCCCCCGGGATAGACAGCAAAAGGAAAAGAAAGAAAAAGAAGAAAACCACAGTATTCAAATATCCGTCAGTCAGGTTAGACAAGGAGCAGTCTGGACCAACTGATCCACAAAGTGACCCACTTTGCACTGAAGACATTTCAGGGAAGACAAAGGTCGCGCAGTCCCGCCGTACACGGACAGTGGCGAAGGAGGGCGGAATGGGAGGGTGCATGGTCATGTGGACAGTTTTAGGCACATGATTTATAATACTTTGTGGATGTCTAACAGGTTAATAAAATATATATTATATAAATATATCTCCTACTATACACGCCACCCTCTTGTGCAGCGACTGTGACTCCACGCCCCAAACTCGTCAAGGTATCCCTGGTTGAACCGTGTTGCCTGCACCTCCCTCTTTAGACCCCAAACCTGCCACCTACACACTGGAGGAACAAGGGAAGATGGCCAGGGATATTGCTTCCATAAAGCTCAGACTCTGGAAAGATCGATGAATCACCAAAGGCAACATTTGGCCAATGCCTACTACAATAGGTATATGCAGCAAATGAATAGAAAGAAAAAGAAAAACCTCCATCTCTTACTGGAATAACTTTTTATGCCCTCTCCACGTACAGGCATAAAGGAACTTGTCTGAGAAGATGGCCTCGACCCTGCAGAAAGGTCAGGGTGACTGTCAAGTCACATCCTGAGCCCACCCTGACCGCCTGCACTACTGCCTGAAAAGTAAAGCAAAGTGAATCAATCCCCCACTCCTCCCGTCCTTCCTGCCCTGAGCAGTTCTCCCACCTCTGCCCCAGTCACTGCCCCAGGGAATCAGCTGGCTTCTGCAGTTACTGCTACGCCTGCAGGGCTGCTCTGAAGGGGACTGTGCTGTGCCCTGGCCTGGAGGAAGATGAGCACTAGGTTCCCACCACCCAGGGGTGCAGGCCCAGCCTTCAGTGCACATCAATGGGCTGACCGGCTCCTCACACTTCGGGTCCCTCTGCAGCCCGGCTGCCCTTGGCCAGAGGAGGCTCCTGCGTACTTCACTGAGGTGAGGAGACCACAGAAACACCCTTTGCCTTGGGGTCTTGACCAGTAGTGGCTCTATTAGGGTGGAAACTGGAAGGCATCACTGTTTCAGCAGAAAAACAGGACCCAAAGCAGAGTGGTTAGTGGTTTCCCACTACTCGGTGAGATCCATGGCCCTGACATTGCCCAAAGGTGCTTCTGAGAAATGAGCAAGACATCCCAGTTACAGCAATTGGATGGCGTATTTCCCCTTAAAGTTCTGCCTTCATTTTATAGTCACAAAGACGAAGTAATCTCACTGCCCAAAGCCAGCCTGAAGGAGATGTGTTACTATATACATTTTTTCCTTTCCTTAAAAATTTCTTTTTTTTTTCTTTTGTTTTTTAAAAAAAAAAAAAATCATTTGAGTTGCAGGTCAGGTAAGTTGGTTCTGGAAGTACTGGTAGTTCCACTGTATGAGAGACTTGTCTATGGGCAGGTACACCCAAGTTTGCCAACAAAGGCAACAACCAAAGCGGCCAGCTGCTGATGCTGCACGAACAGTCGAGGAGGAGGAGGAGGACACCATGGACACGGGTGAAGTCTGAGATGGGACAATGCAGTGGGTACCTGCTGCTGCTCTAACATGGGTGGTGTTGTCACCTCTCAGAAGAACGAGGTGAGTGGGGACACTATACAGGAGGGCTGTACACACTGGGCACTGGACAGGTAGTTCCTTTGGTGGTCAAGGTGGCTCTACCTGTCCTTGAGCTCTCGTGTCACTCGCTTGGTGATACGTCCACACATGAGGCCAATCAGGAACAATATACAGATGCTCCCACTGATCACAGAGAGAATGTAGTTCTTGGATGGCGATGTCATCACTTGCATGGCGAGGTCAGAGAAGCCATCTGCGGGGGCCACCTGAAAGACACACAGCAGCATCACCCGCTGAGAGAACAGGGCTGGAGCAGGTGTGCCTAACTGGCTCCGCTGAGTTTCCATGCAAGGGCATGGAAATCAAACACAGAGGTACAACCCCTTCCCCTGTGCATGATATTCTTTTTTTTTTTTAAATATTTATTTATACAAGCACTGGGTACAGTCAGAAGCGAGGGAGGGTGAGAGAATTCACCAGAGCCAGAGCGGGGAGCAGAACAGGCAGACTAACAAAGAAGTACACTGCTGAGGGGAGCAGCGGGCGGCAGGAGAGGTCTGCGCGCCATGTGGGACCCTCACCGGGTGGTCGGGGATCAAACCGGCGCTGCAGAGGCTGTGGGCAGCTTCACAGCCCAGCGCTCAACCGCTGAGCTACCGGGGAGGCCCTGCACATGATATTCTATGCATCTCCAGCTCAAGATTAGAAAAGAGGTGGTGTCAGTTCATCATGGTGACCACCACCGACACAACACTGGGGCCAGAGACCTGCTGAGGGCAAGGGGCTGGACATGTGGTCAGTCTCCTAGTCCTCACACCAACCCTTGCAAGAAGACTGGATGCCACCTGTATTACAGGTGAAGACCCACGGGCCTGAGGGCTGGGGTTAGGTGACTTGCACTGGACACAGGTTCTTAGGAATTCTGATTGATTTTTTTTTATCACGCTTGCCACCTTTTAAAAAACAAAAGGTTCAGGGCCTCCCCTGGTGGCGCAGCAGTTGAGCGCTGGGCTGCGAGGCTGCCTGCAGCCTCTGCAGTGCAGGTTTGTTCCCCAGCCGCCGGTGAGGGTCCCACCAAAAAAAAAAAAAAAAACACAAAACAAAAAAACCAAAAGGTTCAGACTGTGTTGCATGCTAATTCTCTATCCTGACTTTTTCCACTCACCATTACATGGTGACCATACTCGTATATCAAAAACTGTGCAAACATGACTCAGAGTGACTTAATACACTTAACCACTCCCTTGATCATGGAATTATTTTTTTAAGATTATTTATTTATTTATTTAAAAGATTTATTTTATTTATTTATACAAGCACTGGGTACAGTCAGAAGCGTGGGAGGGTGAGAAAATTCACGAGAGCCAGAGAGGAGAAAAGAACAGGCAGACTGACGAAGTACACGGCTGAGAGGAGCAGTGGGTGCAGCAGGAGAGGTCTGTCGAGTCACGTAGGACCCTCGCCAGCGGCCAGGGATCGAACTGGCGCTGTAGAGGCTGCGGGCAGCTTCGCAGCCCAGCGCTCAACTGCTGCGCCACCAGGGGAGGCCCTTGATCATGGATTTTTTAAAGTGCATCCAGTTTTCTTCTTCACTCTGCTCTTTGTTTTCTCACATGGACCTCTATGGCATCCCACCATGTGATGGCCTTTCCCATTTGCCTTGTGACCGTTGAACTCTAAGCACATGATTGTGGGAGGGACTGGCTAAGGAGAGGAGTTCTCATGGTTACTCTTTTGATCTAAGGTAGTTGGCAAAGTCTATCCCAACTTGGGGTGACACAGAGAGCATGGATCTATCAACCTGCCATTCACTGAGGGACCTCCAGTCACCATCTCTGATGTCACAGGCTCCCCCACTGTGAAGTGGAAAATACTAGACATTCCTCGTTGAGTTTCAAGGCTCAAATGAGGTAATATAGTCATCAAAGTGGTTTGTAAACCACACAGTAATGTACATATGAGGAAAACTATTACAATTACTCTCACTGAGGCTGGATTTTTTAGGAAAAGTTTTCAAGTAGTTTCCCCCAGTCCAATCAGCCTGGGTACATACACATTCACTAGTGTCTTGATGTCTATTTATCCTAATATTCTTCATTTTTCAGGCTGCTGAAGGCTAGTCTCATGTAGGCATTCTTTTCACAAAGACTGTGTAAATTAGAAAAAACAGCTTTAAGAGAGAAGAGGATAGATTTCTTTTTCAACGAGCAAGATGTCAGGCTTTTTTCTGCATGGTTGACTTAAGTCACATAAGTTATTTTTTTTTTTAAATTTAATTTTGGCGAAGAACTGGGGTATAGACCAGAGGTGTGGGGGTGGTGAGAAGGTTCACCAGAGGAAGTGTGGGGAGCAGAACAGGCAGATTCACTGAAATCCACTGCTGAGGGGAGCAGCATGCGAGACAGGAGAGGTTGCTGCGTCATATGTGGGTCAGCTCCCTGGCGGGGGATCGAACTTAAGCCATAGTGGTGAGAGCGCTGAGTTAAGTCACATCATTGCTTTGGGTGACTCACTTTCCAGTGGTAGAGGGCAGAAAGCAGTGGCCTGGCAAAGTCTTGCAGAAACAGCCCAACGCAAAGGGCTCCAGGCACACGGACAGGTGCAATGACAGATTTTTCAAATACAAGCACTGCCAGGCTCACAACAAGTACAGGAGACCAGTGATGTATCTCAAAGAGACTGGGAAACCAAGAGAAGAGATGGCCACGTCAGGAGTCTTATGGTCATTACCTTTGCTGCATAACTCCACATTTCAATCCGATCATTGAGGCGTTTTTTGCACTCTGGTTGTAATCTCACCCGCTTATCCTCCAGGGCTTCCATAAGGCAGGACATTTCTGTGGAAGGAAAAGGATAGCAGGAGTCTGAAACAGTACAGGCAGAAAAATTTCTGAAAGGAGAATGGTATCTAATCACCATATAATTCAGATGTGTGGGTTAAACAAAGTTAAATCTATTCCAGGAAACATGATTCAAGATACCACACGGAGGAGAATGACATTTAAGCCCCCCAAGCTGGCTGTCTGGCATCTCTCTGAGAGCCTCTCTGATTTATTGGGCATGTCTGGCTCAGAAACCACTTTCTGCCCCCACTGGGTTCCACTTCACATAGAACCTGTTCACTGAACCCAGTATGGCCAAGGGAAAACTGATGAGCCGTTCTAGGTGGGAAAAGAGGGCAGCGAAAAGGGCCATGAGGGTGGCTTCACTTTTGCTGCCTTAACCAATAACTCAACTTTCCCTTTTCATCACATCTTTGTGTCTGGTCATAGCTAGGTCAGCTTGCATCTATAGGATTTTGCCACAAAGGCCTAGTCCCGACATTAGCCCAGCCCCCAGAGGATGTTGTCTACGGTGGAGCTGCAGCTACAGGACACAGGGGCTGCAACTCATATCTTAGACGTCTCTTCTCATCCCAAGACAGCTCAGATAGGGTCAGAAGGAACACTGACTTACGACGCCCTCGGCCAGGGGTGATGGCAGCACAGTGGTGCTTAATGTCCAGAGCACAAGCTGTGTGAAGAACTGGGTCCACAAAGATGTCTGCTTTGCTCTCCTTCAGCATGTTTAGCACTTCCTAAGGCAGGAAGATTGTGGTAGAGAAAGCATTCACAGGGGAAACATATCAGATCTGTTATCTCCAAATACTTTTCATACAAACAAAAAAGCCAAGAAGGGAAGGTTAAGGGTTAATGATAGAGCCTGCTTTGAGATAGAGAGCAATGTGTGATGATGCAAAGAACGAAAATTTTTAGCATCCAATTTAACTCAATAAACTCACTTGGGGATAGAGTGTAGCAAAGCTGTCTTCTAAACAAAGCGGGGGACTGTAAGATCAAATTTGGGTTTCTGGCATTCCTATATGCCATATTATTAAGGGCTAAATGTCAGTATTTACACTGATGTAATTACAGTTATTTTGTTAAGTCTGAAAATGTGAAAACTGAAATTCAGTAATATGCTATATTAAAATTCCCAAAGGCATATTTGTTTGCAAAATGTTTCACTTTAACTCTATCATCCTCAAAAATTAAAAAAGAATTGACAGCATAACAACTACTGCAAAGAGAATTCTTATTAAGTTTAAAGAAGTTCAATGAATAAGAGGATAAAAACGAGATAGAAGTCGAATTGCAGACACTCCCACAATACACGAGGAAACGAGAAGAGGTAAGACAAGCCAGAAATGCTTTCTTAAATAATAGCCTGCTCTCAATACAAAGACTGTAGTCCCTGTTAAAAATCATATCCCAAATATTATTCAAAAATGTACCCTTGAAGTCAGGTGGGACCATTTGACGAAAGTCGGAGGAAATATTGATATTCCCACTGTTCCCCAGACCAGATGAAATCAGAAGCACTTTCAGCAGAGGAGAATTCATGCACATACTCACATCACATGTGACTACCATTGAGTAAGGTTTTTTTCAAAAAAAAAAAAAAAAAAGCTTTTAAAACAAATACATTATTTCATTTTCAATTTGTTTTAATAAATTTGCTTTTATGTGATGCTTCTGCTATTAACTCAATTTTTAATTTCATGAATCTCTATGTATACAGAATACGTATCGATACATGGGAACTGGTATTTTTGCTTTGGTATTGTACTCACAGTCCCCTGAAACAAAGGTCTAGGGGTCAGGGGATGAGACATATGAACAACTGGCACATGTGAAGGAATATTTAAGTAATGGGTGATGAGTGGTCAAGGATCATTAAAGTATGGTAAGAAAGAACAGCATAGAATTCTTGGAAGAGGGTTTAAAGATGTGCAGATGATAGCATTTAAAAGGAAAAAGAGAAAGAGGAGATACAAGCAAGTGTGTGTGGAAAGAGATGGGTACCTTTTTACACATTTCCGTTTTGATTTTGAGCAGGTTAACTTTGAGGCACTCCTCTACCTGACCCGTCTGCTCTTGGGCTGCTGCTTCTTCGGCACACAGATTGGAGATCTGGTCAGGAGACACAGAGACAAGGTCCTCATTCTCACTAGAAACCTTGGTCTCTGGAACCTGAGGATTTGGAGCCTCCCACATGTGCCTAGGGCTCTTCTCAGATTCCTGGAGGATTCCTCTCCCCTCCCTCCTATGTGGGGAGTCAGGTTCTGTTCTCTTTCACTAGGCCTGGCACACAGAGCTGAAATCTAGTCAAAGCTTCTATCTGGATGCTATCAACCCTGAGATGTGCATCAGTGTCTCAGGACTGGTCACAGAAGGCTGAGCCCTGATTCCACAGGAGAAAGGTTATACAGCCATGTAAAATACCAAAAGCAAACGCTTGACATTTACAGAGGTTTAGGGTTAACCCAGAGTCACAATTTGGTAATGTGTACACAACCAACCATAACGTTTTTTTGGGCAGCTTTGTGAAATATATTTAGCTAACATATATTTATATTTGAAAGGTATTTAGTTTTGAAATATATTTAGATATAATTGACATAAGTTATACAGGATTTTCCACATGGCCTTTATAGCTAGGAAGTCAAATAATTTCCAAGTTCTGACTTCTTATAGGAGCACTTTTATCTTTCTGGCAAGTTGACCATCAGAATATCTACAAAATAAATGCAGACAGAGATGATAAGGGAACATTGTTGTTCAACAGAGAAATATGGAACCAACATTGTTAGTGATAAGACGAATGCCAAGTCTAGTATAATGTTACAAAGAACCAGGAATTCAGCAATGGAGAGTCTAGGAGATGGGCCTCAACTATTCCTGGATTCCAGGCTGAAAGGAAAGAGGGTAAACAACTTTTCTCCAATAAAAACTTCTCTGACCAGCTCTCTAGAGAACCAGTTCCTACCTCATCTGAGCAGTGCAGCTGGAGCTGAGGATCTAGTCGGTAATCTAGAGCAGATTCCTGGATAATAATCCGTATCTGGTCTTCACAGTCTGAGGAAAGGCGCTATTGTGACAAAGAGAACAGATGGATCTTAGATGACTTCACTTATTACTTGGTTCCTGGCTTGGGAAAGGTATGAAAGAGGTCCTGGGAAAGTAGGAGTTTTTCCAAAGAAAAACCTGCCAAGAACAGTGGTGCACCCTAAATACAGCTCGGCAGGGTCTGGGCCAGTTTACCTGGTCGGCGTATCTTAGTTTGAGGCAAGAAATCACTTGACCTTCTAGCTCTGAGTCATCCTTGGCCTTAGTCAGGATACCATGGCAGAATTTGGGAATGTCGGCTTTACAGGCTTTCCTCAGCACGGGGTTTAAGCGGTAATCTAGAGTAGAAAGTGGTAAACATATTCTACATGGATTCACAACTGTTTAGAGATCCACCTTCTAAAAGGAGGCATACTAAGTCAACAACCGTGAGCACATCAATTTGTTTATTTAATACAGGCTCACTGAGCTCTCACTACACTGCTTTTTATCAGCAGTAAAATTTGGTGAGAGGTAGCTGATGAGAGCCCCAGGAATCCTCCTCTGCAGCAGCCCTGAAGGGGCTCGTGGGACCAATGCACTAACAAACATCAAGTAGACCACAGCACTCTCCATATGACAGGTATTTGTGAAAACAATGAGAACAGAATATCCAATTCACCTGCCCCATCAGTTACAAGGTCTTGTAACTCACAAATGAAAACTCTCTGGTCTAAAACAGACTGCCCATATATTCTTCTGCCATGTGCATGAAGTTTTATTAAATCTCTAGTGCTGGGGTCCCCCTGATGGCCTAGGGGTTAAGTCTCAATGCTATCGCCACTACAGCCTGAGTTTGATGCCCGGCCAGGGAGGTGACCCACATGGCGCAGCAGACCTCTCCTGTTTTGCCTGCTGTTCCCCTCAGCAGTGTATTTCAGTCAATCTGCCTGTTCTGCTCTCCACTCTGTCTCTGGTGAATCCTCTCACACACACCCCTTCTCCCCTGCCCAGCCCCTGGCAACACCTCTGCCCTATACCCCAGTTCTTGTATGCGTAAATAAATAAATCTTTAAAAAAAAAAAAAAGGAAGAGTAAGTTGTTTGCTTGCATTCAGACTTTAAAAATTTCATGAGCAAGAAAGCCCCTGTACTTTTTAGGTTAATTATATACCCATTCATTCTATTTAAGCTGCTCATGGACACCAGGAAAGCCAAGCCAAGACTTTTTTTTTACCTGTGTTCTGGGTGATCTGGCGCTTGGTTATCATCTGTTTGCATTTGGGATCCATCAACTCACTGTTTTTATTTTGTTTTAAGCACTGCAACATGGTTTTAGAATCTGCTTCTGGACAAAATCTCTGCAAAAGAACAATGTTTTGTAAAAACAGTTATCCAAATATTACAATAAACATCATATATATTACTCTTCCTTCTAAGGGGAGCTCACGACAGAAACAGCCTGAAGGTATCACTGGCTACAAGTGAAACAGCGGTGTTCAGTTATTCTCTACTGTATTGTTCACCTTTCTTCCTATGACCTTACTATTTTCTCTTTTGCACAGAATTAATTCCTGACCAATCTGGCTATGCTATATTATATGGCATCTCATGAACACAAATATCGTTAAGCATGAACAAAATATTATACCAGGAAACTACACAGCCATCAAGCCTTATTTATCCAGTCCACCAATGTGGACAGGGATGTCAGATAAGGATGTCTGGTTTGGCTCTTAGCCTTAGGGCCTATAACCCTGTGGGCTAGCCCCTGTATACTTGTTAGTATCCCTGGAGTCAGAGCTCAGTTTTGGAGGAGTAAGTAAACTCCATCTCTGCCTGACAATCCATAGATCTTTAAATGTCAGAGTATCTGATAAACGCTAGTGCAGATGCCTGAGCATCAAGCCTCCCTCTCCAGTGCCCTTTGGCTAGTTCTGGTGGCATTCTCAGTACACTGCCCACTAAGTACCCTCAGAACCATTCTTAGATTTGCTGGACATTTACTTACTTACACTCAGGTCAGCGAGGATGGTCACCAAACTTGGCATGAACAAGAACAAGAACAAACCACTCTCTGAGAGCTTGTTAAAACAGACTGCTCCACTCCCAGTTTCTGCACCAGTAGATCTGGGAGGAGCCCAAGTATCTGTAATTTACCAGATGATATTGCTGGTCTAGGACAACACTTCAAGAACTACCCTCTTAGCTGTATAAAGCAGGCTGAAGTATAAAGATTACATGAATTTACTCTGTGTTATTTTTAATCACCATGTGCTTCCCCTGGTTTTGGATGGCTTACCTTGATCATCTGCTTGCAGACTCTCATGAGTGTGTAGTCTAGTTCTGGGTCCATCATTTCTGTTTCCTGCAGCTTAAAAACTTTCTGGTGGCAGCGGGTACTCAGCTGCTTCTTGTTTTCTTTCAGACATTCAATAATCTAAGGCATGAAAATTATATTTCAGTTAAGGGCTATGTCAGGATTGATAATCCATGCAGTTTGTATATCCCCTATATTTTTGTATTCATTTCTAATTCCTAGGAAATAAGCATCAGGTTTTCTTCACCGATGAGAATTATATCTATAGGTCTACAGCCTCAGCCCTAACAGCCAACCAAACTACTGAGTCGTCGAAAAAGCCATGATGCGTTTTTGCTTGTAAAACACAGGAAAAAAAACACATCATGACTTTTCCAACAACCCGATATATAAAAATTATGGATGAACAGGATGCAGTGGCGTTTAAAGGGAAGGAAATCCACTCAGGCTTCCTGCTCTCTTTTGCTTCTAGAGCCATTCTTTGTCAAGATTCCTCATGGAGTATATATGAGGCTCTCTGCATTTCCCTGGAGCAAGGACCCTGGCTAGACAGTAGACATAAGTCAGGTGTTTCAGTTTAACACCCCCCTTATAGGAGAAAACACCATTAGATGTCAGGCATGAATAAAACCCAGTCCCTACCCTGATGAATATACCATCTCACAGCGCAAACATCTATAAACAAATAATATTAAAGCATAGAGTAACATGGGATGGATTTTAAGATTGTGAATTAGTATATCCTGAAATCCCCCCTTCCCAATAACACACATTTATATATTATTAAAAGTGATAAAGGAAAGCCGATGAAGCTGCAGAGGCAAGTATGAATTTCTGAGACTTCCATGAAAACCTCATATAAAAACACAAAATTTAGGGCCTCCCCGGTGGCACAGCGGTTGAGCGCTGGGTTGTGAAGCTGTCCGTATCCTCTGCAGCGCCAGTTCGATCCCCGGCTGCCGGGCGAGGGTCCCACATGGCGCGCAGACCTCTCCTGCTGCTCCCCTCAGCAGTACTTCAGTCCTGCCTGTTCTGCTTCCTGCTCTGGCTCTGGTAAATTCTCTCACCCTCCCGCGCTTCTGACTATACCCAGTGCTTGTATAAATAAATAAATAAATCTTTAAAAAAAAAACAAAACCCCACAAAATTTAGATAATTTTGCCTAATTTAATTGAACAAATGAGATACTATGGTTTTTCTTTACTCCTACCAACCCAGTCTTCAGAAAAGTTTTCTAATTCTACATGTCACAATGTTCTTACTTGGTTTGAGTTATCCAAGAAAATATAAATAAAATTAAAAAATTTCACATACTCAAAAAAAATCCTCAAGGTACAACTAAGAACCAGCAAATAGCTGAGAAACACTAATACTCTAAGAAAGGAATCAAGACTCAAAACTGAGGGGAAAGGGTAATAGGGCAATCCAAAAAATAGGTTTATTATTCTTAGAATAATATAGAAGGAAATGGTAAATAAGAATCAAGAACAGGTATTTATGAAATGAACTAATTAAAAATCCTGGAAATGAGGGCCTCCCTGGTGGTGCAAGGGGTTGAGGCACAGCCTGTAGAGGTGGCCACAGCCACTGCAGCACGGGTTCGATCCCTGGCCAGGGAGCTACACACATGGCACATCAGACCTCTCCTGACTCGCCCGCTGCTCCCCTCAGCAGTGTATTTTGGTCAGTCTGCCTGTTCTGTTCCCCGCTCTGTCTCTGGTGAATCCTCTTACCCCCGCCACCTCTGGCCTGTAACCCCGTTCTTGTATGCATAAATAAATAAATCTTTAAAAAAAAGAGTAACTCATTAAGCTGGATGTGGAACTGAGGAGTACAAATGGAATAAAGTAGTACAAAGAGACAAAGAAACAGAAAGCATGAAAGAAAAAGTGACAAAACCTTGAGAAATGATTCAGATGTTCCAAATGCCTAACAACAGTTCCAGAAGGAAAGAAAAGGAAGGCGATATTTCAAAGAACAATGCTTAAGAATTTCCTACAAAACAAAAAAGGAACATACAGACTGGGTGAAGGTATTTGCATATCACACATCAGACAAGCTGTTAATTTCAAAAATATGTAAAGAACTCATACAACTCAACAACAAACAACCCAATCAAAAAATGAGACAAAGGGGCCTCCCCGGTGGCACAGAGGTTCAGCGCTGGGTTGCGAAGTTGCCTGCAGCCTCTGCAGCGCCGGTTCAATCCCCGGCTGCTCCCCAGCCACCGGAGGAGGGTCCCACATGGCGCGCAGACCTCTCCTGCCGCCCACTGCTCTCCTCAGCAGTGTGCTCCAGTCCTTCTGCCTGCTCTGCTCCCCGCTCTGGCGCTGGTGAATTCTCTCACCCTCCCGCGCTTCTGACTGTACCCAGTGCGTGTATAAATTAAAATAAATAAATAAATAAATAAATAAAGCACAAATGTTTAAAAAAAAAAACAACAATGAGACAAAGACCTAAATAGACACTCCTCCAAAGAAGACATTCAGACATGAAAAAAAGTCCAATATCACTTATTATAAAGGAAATGCTGATCAAAATCACAATGAAATATGACCACACCCCTGTAGAATGGCCGACATCAAAAAGACTGGAAACAAAGTTGGTGAGGCTGTGGAGGAAAAGGAACACTTATTCATTGTTGTTGGAATGTGGTGCAATCTTTATGGAAAACAGTACAGAGATTCCTCAAAAAAGTGAAAATGGACATACTGTGTGAGCCAGGAAACCCCATCTAGGTAGCTACACAAAGAATAAGAAAATAGGGTCTCTCAGGTGGCACAAGGGGTTAAGACGCAACCTATGAAGATATCCGCAGTCACTGCAGTACAAGGTCGACCCCTGTGCCAGGCAGCTACCTGTATGAGGCAGCAGGCCTCTCCTGACTCGCCCGCTGCTCCCCTCAGGAGTGTATTTCAATCTGCCTGTTCTGCTCCATACTCTGTCTCTGGTGAATCCTCTCTCACCCCCCATAGCTCTGGCCTATACTCCATTTCTTGTGTGCATAAATAAATAAATCTTTAAAAAAAAAAAAAAAGAACAAGTAAACACTAATATGAAATGGTTTCTGCATGCCTATGTCCACAGCAGTGTTACTGACAATAGCCAAGCCATGGAAACAATGTAAATGGCCACTGACAGATGACTGGATAAAGAAATTGTGGAATATATACTTATAGAATATTACTCAGCTATTAAAAAAAGATGAAAAAAGTGACTTTTGGGGACAAGTGGATGTATCTTGAGGTGATGATGCTAAGTGAAATAAGTCAGAAAGTGATAGACAGTTATGGATGGTTTCACTCATTTGTGGAACACAGATAACCAAAGAAAACAAACTGGCAAAACACAACAAAAAATGACTTTTAAGACTCTACTCTGTAAAAAATATAATGGTTACCTGAGTAAAATGTGAGGAGGGAGGAATGGAGAGGGGTGGGGAGGTGGCGGGGCATAGGCAACTGGGGTGTTGGTGGAGGGTAAATGACAAATGTGCGCATATGAAAGAGGGAAGTCGTAATCCCAAAATAATATGGTTGTGTAAACAGTGGACAAATCCATGAAACTGGAAGAAAAAAATTCCTAGAACTGAACAAACACACGAATTCTGAGACTGAGTTAACCAGGATTAAAAAAAAAAAATTCATACCTCACTACAACACAGTGAAACTACAGATCATTAAAGATTAAGAGAAAACTCAGAATAATTGCACAGATGAGAATCAGATTGACGTCAGACTGCACCAGCAATGGGAGATATAAGAAGACAACAAAGCCCTTGTCTCAAAGGCTAAGGCACCAATGCCCTACACTGGAAGAGGGAGCTGAGTCACTGAGAGAACATTTAAAAAAAAACAAACAAACAAAAAAATCAGCAGCTCTCCTGCCTTCCTTTGACTATGCAGGTGCTTTTTTTTTTTTTTTCTCTTTCTCCTTTTCCTAACAAACCTCTCCTTTTAAAATGTTAAAAAAAAAAAAAATCACTTGCTTGTACTTCATTCCTGAGGATTCTGGGCAGGGTCCTGTTCTGTGTACTTAAACAAAAAAGTTCTGTAGGTGATCCTTATGGGTCTTCCTACTGTGTAATAGGAACATGTGAAGGATCATTCTATGTGGAGGTACAGGGTATTGGGAAAGTTAAAGAGCGGAGGAGGCACATACAGATCCACTGGGAATATATTAGGCACACAAGGTGAGAAAGGACAAGGTAACCTGAAGAGGGAAGAGAATGAATAGGCAATAAAGAAGAATACAGGTAAGGAATTTTGTCTGGGAAAAGTAGTCTGGTGTAGCATAAGAGGGGGTGATCAGGTTGTATAGGATATGATGGGGCCTATCCTGCCAACAATTTAATTATTAAAATGCTACCTTTGTAATAAAAAATAATTTACCTGAGCATTGCCATATTGCACACTGGAGCAGTAGTTCTTGATGTCACTCTTGCAGGCTTCATACAGATCTGGTTCTAGACGGATGTCCTCTGTCTGCAGAAGAAGGGCCAGCATGGAAAAGGGAGGTTAATTCAAGGTAGGGATATCAAATGTTCTCTATACCTATTTGCTGACTAGATTCTGTCTAGTAACCACAACTTCCCCCTAGCAGAGTGGCAGCAATGTGGCTACTGCAGTGAAAGGAGAAGTGGGCTTTAGTTTTAATTTCTGCCACTAACTAGCTATGTGGCCTCAGACTCTCTGGAAAAAGAAAGGCAACAATCCACCCTGACCTCTTCATAGGCCTGCTGCAAGCTGATAAAATATGGAAACCACTTTATAAAGTTAAAACCATTATATAAATATAGATTTCAACTTTCATCATTATTATTTTATTGCAAGATTAGATTCAAAGCCAAAGGCCCAAAGTCTGTATTCTAACAGGGTATTCAGGCCAGCTCTACTTCAAAATAATTTTCTCTGAATCAGTACACTGTATGCGGAAATCTGGTGATGTAGCTTTTAGGATATTAATGGTATTTGGTGTCTATTACAAGTTTTTGCTTAGACAGAGGGGAAATAAGTATGATTCATAATATGAAACATACGAAAGTATTTTTAGCAGTCGCCTTAGCATGGTTTGGGCTTAACCTCAGGAGTCAAGCAAGATGCTTCTCTTAGGGTGCACACTACAGCTGACTTCCCAATATCCGTTCCTCCCTGGTGACCGCAATAATTCCTCCCTGGTTACCCAATGCCTGGCATTGCCCTGGAGACTGTTGTTGGTCAAGAGAGGACAAGATCCCAAATTGACACCATCAGCCTGAAGGGAAGCTTCTTTACTGCAAGCTGGAGGTGGTTTCTCTCGTTTCACTTTCCTGCTGAACAAGGCTGCTGGAACAGGTGGCCCAGCGACAGCAGGCGGCCATCGTGCAGCCTCAAGGAAAACCAGTCTTACAACGAAGCTGTTGCAATGATAGCAGAGTGGAGAGGGAGAGACCCTGGGTCCCTGAGGACATTACTGGTGTTAGGATTTTATCACGGGCTTACAGATGGTCTTATAGCTAGATTTCCATTTATGTATAGTAGAAAAATATTTTGTTAAAAGAAAAAAAAGCTAGAAGCTAATTTTCCCATGGTCAAATTTTAGCACATAGCTCTTAGTATTAGCTACACATCCTTGGCTAAAATGCCCACTTGCCCTTGCCCCTCACCCAACCTTCCCAACCCTTGCCCCGCAGCTTCAGGCACCAAGTCTGTATGGCGGGGCATTACCATTTCCAGCTCCTCCACCCGCAGCTGCTTTCGGCACTTCAGGGACACCCGGTGTTCCTTGGCTTCCTGCAGAGTGTCATTGCGCACGGTGGTGCTCAGGCAGATCACCACATCCACCCTGCCAAGGACAGAAGGAGGCCTGAGACAGACTGGAGCCACACACGGGCAGGCGGCTGGGAGCCTGGCCCGGTCACCACAGCAGAATTCATGACCCTCTGTACTAGGTTTTGGAATGCCTTTTCTGAAAGTCTCACTGTGAATTTAGAGGTGAAACTAGCATTTTGACTGTCACAGAAGTTAGGCCACAGCCCCAGTGCTGATTACATTCCTGGCTGGAGGAAAGGCCACAGAGGGTAGGGGAGCAAGGACCGTTCAACACTTCCGTTATTTTGTTAAAAACATGTGACCAGAGAATACTGCTCTTAACTCTGGACTGTGTCCTGATGTACAGTGAAACTCATCCCTGAAAGAAACAGAAACCTGTGCAAAACAGGAACTAGGTGCAGACATGGGAAACGTGTTCTAATAATTACCTTTGCACAGAGCAGCCATACTGTAAAAGCGCATCTCTGTCCTCATTAAAAACTCATTTTTATTATTTTTTATTTTTTTTATAGAGGCATGCTTTATTTATTTGTTTGCTGGTTTGTTTGTTTGTTTATACATGCACTGGGTACAGTCAGAAGCGCGGGAGGGTGAGAGAATTCACCAGAGCCAAAGCGGGGAGCAGAGCAGGCAGAAGGACCGAAGTACACTGCTGAGGGGAGCAGCGGGCGGCAGGAGAGGTCTGCGCGCCATGTGGGACCCTCCTCCGGTGGCCGGGGAGCAGCCGGGGATCGAACCGGCGCCGCAGAGGCCGTGGGCAGCTTCGCAACCCAGCGCTCAACCGCTGTGCCACCGGGGAGGCCCAAGAACTCATTTTTAAATGAATAAAGTTTTTGTATCTTCACTGGATCTCTAACTCTGTAAGCCTCCGCTGCTTCCCTAAAGTAATGACATACTGGAGAGATGCTGGGAATAAGTCAATGAACCTTTTATTCACACTGTAGGTTGCTCCTCTAAGTAAACAATCTCTCTGCTTGATCAGTTAGAAAACCTGAACCTGGAAAAATTAAAATCTCTCCTTTAGCCAAAAGATTCTCCAGTTAGAAGCACCTCCACAGTGGTACCTCTAGGGCAGCTATAAAGATGATCTGTCCAGATTCTGAGTGCTTGGCTACCCCATCAAAGGCATGTATGGAAGGCCTTTGGCAGGAAGCTGCTTGGCACCCTGTTTTACTGAGTATGAAAGAAGGACTTTAGGGAAGCAGAATGAATCAATTCAAAGCTACATACTTCTTTTTTATATTGGGGCAAAGTTTCAACACATCTTCCTTGCAGGCCATTTTAAACTTGTAGGAGAACCGAAAGTCCTTCATCTGTACCTGAAAAAGATGATGAGAAAGAAAATCAGAAGCTCTGTGGCACGTTCCAGTGACCCTGTTGGTCACAGAAACTTGCTTTCCAGGGCCTGCAAGGCTCATCCTCGCTCTGCCTGTCTGATTCATCATCTACCAACCTCCCTGTTACTCCCTCACCGCCCTCTCTGCCATTCCAATCACACAAGTGGTTCCCTCTGCCATGTGGTTCTTCTTCCAGATCTTCCCATGGGTTTGCTTTGACACTTCCTTGACTTTTCTATTCAAACACTTCCTTCTGAAGTCCCTTCACCTTCACTCTCCAATTCTTATGCAGCTTTACTTCTCTTCATAGGCCCAATGTTAGACCGTGTTGTTTGTCAATGTGTTTTTGCACCTGTCTCTTCCTAGAACACAGAGTCGACAAGGGTGGGGTCTATCTTTTCCTTCACTGTCTCCCAGTGCCTGTACTCCACAGCCATGTGTGAAGAAGCCAGGTGGGCTACATGCCCAAGAAAGGGTCCATTTTATACATATGACCAGAGGACATCCTCCCAGCAAGGAAGTGCTCATTTTACCAGAAACACTTCCTTTAGATAGGTGGTAACTATTAAGAGGAGGGTTTAACCTTCTGACTCAAAAGCTGGACCTAGATAGTATGATTTCAAAGAAAAAAGGGCTTAGAGTTCAGTGTCCTGATAACACATTTGGGCTGCTGCACTCAACAGTGACATGAAACAGCAGATCTCACTGATACCACCTGTTCAAGGTAAGCCTGAAACACCTCTAGAGGCAAGTTGTATGACTGAGGCAGGAAACGCCAGCTACTTGTCTATCCCAAAGGGTTTCCTGCACCCAAGAGGTACTGAATTTCCAGGAGCTGAACAAAGCACCCAGCCTTGGAGGATAAAAACCACACTGCTAGAGAGAACAATGAAATCAGATATGTATTTGGAAAAAGCAACTGTTCACAGAAGAGGGGCTTTGATGTTCTGAAAGAAGAGATTCAGTAATTATCAAAACAACCAAACAGGGACTCCAAAGCCAGGTGCGACTGACCAACTGGAAGTGGGTGACTCCGATGGCGCACTTCTCATTCATGTCCTTCTGGTGTTTGTTCTGGATCAGACACTCCATCAGGTCCCCAGAGTCTATCTGGTTATCTGCCACATCCTGCGGAAGGCAGTGCACATTCACGCTCCATTAGTGACAAGTAATAAACAAATCCTACACCCTGGTCCATGAAAAAATGCAAGCCAGACTAGTTTTAGAGCGTTCCCCAACAAGACACATAGAAATTATATAAAAAAAGGCCTGAACGGTTACAAGGATAAACAACTGGGGAATAAAATTTACACAGCATAGGTGCCCTGCACAAGGCTTCAGTAAAAATGTGAGCTGTGCCGAGTCCTCACTGCTGTCCTCATGTGGCGCCCATTACAGTGGGCTTTCCTTGGGGCTTCACTCCACAGTTTAGTAGTTCAGTAAGTGAAAAAAGGAATCAAGTAACAGAGTAGTTCTGTCTCTAACCCTTGTTTCTCTACACATCACTTACGTGGCAAAAGTTTTGAATTATGGGCTCACAGGCTCTCATCAGCAAGGCTTCGATTTGGATATCCTGCAAAAGATTAAACATGTTAAAGAATCTGCTTTAGAAAGGGCTATGTGTGGAGGGAGGAACTGACTGTTTTTAAGAATCAGTAGCTTCTGATGGGCAAGTAATCTAACACGCACACTGGAAATAATTCCAGTGTTTAAGTTCCATGATCCAACATAGACAGAACTGCTGCCCCACTACATTTTGAAAGGCAAATTTTCTAGAGGTAGATTCTTGTACTTGAATGACAGAGAGCAGAATTAAGGATGGTGGGAAGAACAATGAACAAAAATATCAGAGTATGCAAAGCCTTTGGAGTGTTTACAAAATGCTAAGCAGTTCAAAATGAAAACAGAGGTAAATGACATCTGTCTTTAGTTTTTTTAATTCTAAGCCAGATTGTTGTCCTCAAACCAGATGACAACCCAGTGCCTCTGGGGAACACACACTAAAAGGCCTCTGAGAGACAGAGTAACCCCTGTTCACCCACACTAGCTGTTAAAACAAGGCCTTCCTTTAAAGAGTCATAAGGAGTGAAAAGCTCACAATGAGAATGAGAGAAGAAAACAGAAGATGAAAGAAGTCAAATATTTGAAAACTAGAAAGCAAAAAAGACTGGTTGAGAAATGTGATTTAATGTACTGACAATTTTTACAATTCAAGTAGTTCTAAAAGGCATAAGCCTTAAAAAGAAAAAAAAAAAAAAAAAAAAAAGGAATTCCTATTTTCCTAATTCCTACCCCCAGACCTCAGTAATAATCTGTTTTCCTAAATAACATGCCTGTATTTATGGGACTCCTCCCCTGCCCCCAATTTTATTTAATTTATTTTTTTCTTCATTGAGGTAACAATTGCTTACAACACTGTATGTGACTTAGGGGAAGAGTTCACACCTCCTCGGGTGTGTGTCAGCACTATTTGTGGGCTTTTTAAAATTCCATTTTTTTATAATTTAGTGGATTTCAAGATGGAACGGGGATAAAAATATCAAGGTTTGACTGGAGTCCCAGGTTATTTCATTAAACACACAAATATTACCAAATGATTACATTAAAAGAGCTAAAGATAAGAGAACACGAATGCTTGAACTGCTCTTGAATGTGATTAAGACGTCTGAAGTAAAGCTTTTTTATAGGCTTTAAATTTAGTTCTCCTTCAATTATTCACTGATTCACAAAAAATGGTTTAGAAAACCTTCAAAGATTCAGTTTACTATAGAAAGGAAAAGATTTCCTGGGGTCTGAAGGGATTCATACTTGCAGACGCTCCAATCAGCTGCACTGAGTTGAGCATTCTGCAGACAGAACTGTGTCAAATCTGCAGCTGCCTGGGAAACCTTCAGATGGTTGAGCCCAGCCTCCAGCTGTTGAACCACTTTCTTTATAGTGGTGATGCTGGAGGAACTGACATGGAGCAAACAAGAGCTGGGTCCGCACAACATGCTTGTTTATAAAGCAGATGAAAAGAAACTTACTGTGTTCCTTTTGTTTTGCAAAGAATCTGCACTCAAAGTCTAGAAACAGTAGAATTAAGAAAAAAGGAAAGGCTGCTGACAGGGCGCTCCTCCTCTGAGCTGCAAACGGCTTACCTCGGATTCTAGCTCGGTGAGGTTGCCAACTATATCTCTGCACTCGACGGCCAAGTCATCAAGATGATCCTGGAGGCACTCAAGTTCCTGCAAAGGAAAAGGCAATCCTGGGCATCTGCCACTCACATACGTGACCAAGGGATGTTGAGATGCCATATCCACTTCCTTTTCAGTGGTCTTCCTTTTCTTTTTAGAACTAATGCACTTAACGGAAACCAAGGCTTTGCTGATTCCCCAAACTGAGACTACTGAAGAGATGATTACTTGTTGTAACAGGGTGGCTACGAGGGTCAGGGTGGCACAATACCCATGCAAAACCTCCATAAGGCCAAACTGTCAAATCCAACATGTATCAATGCTCAGGTGTCAACAGAGTCTACATATTTTTTTCAGGATTTTACTCTATTTCATCAACATATGGCCATTTCATTTTTACCTATGTTTTGATAATCTTTGCCTCCCATTTTTAATCTATATTTTGATAAAAATAATTGGACTAAAAAACCAGTGAACAACAATGGAATATCTTTTTTTTTTAAAAGATTTATTTATTTATTTATTTATTTATTTATTTATTTATTTATTTATTTATTTATGCAAGCAGTGGGTACAGTCAGAAGCGCAGGAGGGTGAGAGAATTCACCAGAGACAGAGTGGAAAAGAGAACAGGCAGACCTACGAAATACACTGCTGAGGGGAGCAGCGGGCGGCAGGAGAGGTCTGCGCGCTATGTGGGATCCTTGCCAACGGCTGGGGATGGAACCAGCACTTCAGAGGCTGCAGGCAGCTTCGCAGCCCAGCGCTCAACTGCTGCGCCACCAGGGCAGGCCCAACAATGGAATATCTTAAGACTTCATGGGCAAAGCATAACATCAGCTCACTTTCCCAAGCACATCAACAGCTAATTCTCAGCAAAATGCTCTGCTAAAGGATCAAGTTTACCTTACTATTCTACAAGAATTGCTGTGCTCCAGAATTAGAATGGAAAAGGAGGAGAAAGGTTGTGGGAATTATGTGCCAGAACTTTGGGAGGAGAAGGAAACCTTAAGCAAAATGTATACAACTTTTGAGAGTAAGATACTCGGCTAAGATGAACATCCCACTCATGGAATTCTCTCTATAGTTCAGCTTCACAGTGGCAGGTTGCAATGTAGTGCTGCTTTCTCAATGTTTCTTTACTGGGGGATGGGGGTTAATGGGAGGGGAGCATGACAGGAAACTATTTCCTGGGATCCTGTATCACCATGCTGCTTGTTTCATTAAGACAGAAGTAGAAAGGTATAACACAGGCATTTCAAACTCTACAGAACTACAGTAGGCTCAGGAAGGTAAAAGACATGTTGGTTCTTAAAAATGTCTAATTCCTGTATACATGACTTTTTAAAAGTTTAATCCCAGAGACTGCTGTGGAACCTGGATGTGAGCTCACTTCTAGTTCTAGTATCAAAGGGCTCAAGTGGTGGTTACTTGATGCCTGGTTTCCTACCTTAAGATGTACGATGCAATACCTTCCTACTTAAGTTACAATGCAGTAATGAACTGGGCACAAAATCCTGCAGATCCATTCACAGCACACATGTTACTTTTGGGGACTGTTCCTTCTCTCCATACAATAGAATGGAACCAATGCCTCATTTTTGTCAAATACGAGATGGGAAAAATAATTCCATCCCTATGTGGCCTGTGGAACTGTTGAAGGACAGGCATTCATGCATATGAGTATTTACATATATATTTATATATTTATACCACTTTCCCTCAAAAGGACTTAATGTTTATGAAATTGAGAAAAGAAAAAAAGAGGCAAGATAAAATTAAAATAAGTAAAAAAGAGGAAACTATGTTAAAGAAAGTGGGATAGGGCCACAAAATGCCCACCACACAATCTTACACACTTGTTAAAGGCAGGTCATATCTTTGGCTTTTTAAGAGGCAATACCAAGAGGAAGATAATCACAAACAAACTATAGCAACCACAACAGAAGATCAAACTGCTTAGGGAAAGTAGAGTTATTCCTGGTGTACAGACCAAAGAGAAAATTTTCCCAAGGATTTCTTACAGAGAGAACACTGAATAATACAACAAATCATGACTGTGAATACACAGAGATGAATTTTATGGTGTTTACACTCTCTATAAACACTATCATTGTAAGATAAATAGGCAGCTAGATCACCCACCTGCCCAGTCTCCGTCTTTTCACTGCACCACTTCCCCAGATCGATCAGGCACTTATTCTGGAGGGCTGGGTCCAGCTTAACATCCATGGCTCGTTGGTGGAGGATTCTCTGGACTTCAGCTCGGCACTCCCTTGAGAGCTAGAAGAAAAAAAACACGCAAAATACTTTAAAGATACCAGAATCAAATCAAAACAAGCAAACCCCCACTAGATAAAGCAAATCTGTTGTCAGGAAACAAACAAATGACTTTGTTATTTATATAAAACCACATACTTGGAATTTCTTCCAGAATGAGATATTCTTTTATTTTTTTTAAAGATTTATTTATTTATTTATTTATACAAGCACTGGGTACAGTCAGAAGCGCGGGAGGGTGAGAGAATTCACCAGAGCCAGAGCGGGGAGCAGAGCAGGCAGAAGGACCGAAGCACACTGCTGAGGGGAGCAGCCGGCGGCAGGAGAGGTCCGCGCGCCATGTGGGACCCTCCTCCGGTGGCCGGGGAGCAGCCGGGGATCAAGCCAGCGCTGCAGAGGCTGCCGGGGAGCAGCCGGGGATCGAACCGGTGCTGCAGAGGCTGCCGGGGAGCAGCCAGGGATCGAACCGGCGCTGCAAAGGCTGCGGGCAGCCTCGCAACCCAGCGCTCAACTGCTGCACCACTGGGGAGGCCCCAGAATGAGATATTCTAAGGGGCTTCTAAAAGCCTCTATCTTAGGAGATTATATATTCAGCATTTTCTAATATACTATATGAAACAATATTCTTTTCTGAGACTATCCTGATAAAAAGATCAGGATTCATTCTGATTAGGTTACAGTTTTTATTTTAGCAAAATTAAGTCACTCGAATGAATGAATATAGAATAGAATGCTGGATCCAATTAGGAGAGAATACATACTTGGGTCAGGAGAACTGAGTTCAAATTTACCTAAATTCAGAGCAAGCACCTAACAGTAGCAGCAACAGTTACTACAGGTAAGAACCAGACTCTTCTAGATGAATTACAGAGGGAGTTAGCAGAAGGCAAAACAGATGAAAATACTTTCAGAAAGGTTGTGAGAAAGCTGTCATTGACAGGTACAATCTTCTCTCTTCCTAAAAAAGCCAAAACACCTGGGGTGGGAGAGGTGGGGAGAAATTGCTTAATGACAAGGGGTTCCTTTATGGAGACATGGAACTATTTATAAAGTACATAGCGGTGGTTGTTGCATAACTTTGTGAATGTACTAGATTTCTCCCTTTAAAATGGTTAATGTTATGTAAATCTCACCAATTAATAAAATACAATTTCAAAAGGTAGCAGATTAGATTCCAACCCATTCTACAGTTACAAGAGAGGGAATCTCCTAAAAGTAAGATGACTAGCAAGATGCTAGGATTTAGGAGCTCCTATGGCTAAGGAGAGGTGTATTATTTGAAGAAAAAGCAACAAATTTCCATATTTTCTTACTCACTAGTATAAAATCTAGGTTAAGAATGAAGTAGCTAACATAAATGTTAGTTTCTATTAATGTAACATTTCTATTTGGGTCTTCTCATTATGAAACCTACACAAACTTTTGCATTAGGTTTGCATAGAAGGGGTCTTTATAGGGCCTCCCTGGTGGCGCAGTGGTTGAGCGCTAGGTTGCGAAGCTGCCTGCAGCCTCTGCAGTGCCAGTTTGATCCCCGGCCGCCAGGCAAGGGTCCCACAAGGCGTGACAGACCTCTCCTGCCACCCGATGCTCCCCTCAGCAGTGTGTTTCGTTAGTCTGCCTGTTCTGTTCTCTGCTCTGGCTCTGGTGAATTCTCTCACCCTCCTGCGCTTCTGACTGTACCCAGTGCTTGTATAAATAAATAAATAAATCTTAAAAAAAAAAAAAAGAAAAAGAAGGGGTCTTTATAAACATGCATGTGCCATAACACCATTTCTCTTTTATGTAACTAACAGGACTGAAATGTAATAGGGCATCTCAAAAGGCTTACAAAAGCCTCTCTGGAGAACAAACCGCATTTCAGTTTGGCATTGGAGGCATCAAACGTTGTCTGAGAGGCAAGTGCACACAAACGTCCCAACAAGAAGCCTCAATTACGGCAGACACATACCAGGAGACCGGGGATGGAGGCTTCTGCTCCCATGAGTGTTCTGTGGGAGAAGCCTCATCTACGAGGTGCTGTGTTCAGCTGCCAAGGGGAGAAGCCTGAAGAGCATCTGTATCCTACCTGAGAGCTTCTAATGGATCTTTAAAGTCAAATCAAGTTAGGGCAGCAGAGTTTAACTGTCTATTGGTGATGCAGATTTCAGTAATTTAAAGGGGGGGGGGAGCTAAAAATGTCCCCAATCTGCTTTGTCAAAGACACAAAATCAGATGGGAAGAAGCTGACAGAACAACAATCTGGACACCCACTGCATGAAGACATTTCAAGTAGTATGACAAGACCCTCCCTGCTGCATAGATTAAACAAATTTTCATAGGATAACAGAAACAGAACAATATACAGGAAACTAATTTAAAAAACAAATGACGATAAGGAGAAATGAAGCCAGTAACTGAATCATACCCTCCTGCCCTGTTCCTCGGTGCGATAGGCGTGTCTATATAAGCAAGAGAACACGGCTCCAGGAGGCATTAGTTCACTGGTCTCATTCCAACCATGGGTGTGGCAAAGACGAGACGCATCTCCCTGGCACTTGCGGTATAAGACAGGGTCCAACCTATGAGAGCAAGGGAGAACCATGATTACTATATACCTTTCCTTCTGCAGCACACTAAGGGTTTTTACGGGTGCCTGTGTACTCGTTGATTATCACCTCCAGGGTAGTGGAGACAGCATGTAAGCAAAAGTATATTTCTGAATTTTGCTCTTCTTGAACACACAGAAGTCTATCCTAATAGCGAAAATCTAAGCTCTAGCTCAAAGCTATTATTCCGGTGATGCAAGGCTCATGACATTACAGGAACACATTCAGCACTGACATGCCAGGGTGAAAAGAGAAAAAACAGGGTTGTACCCATTACCAGGCGATTTGAAACTGTATACTCATTACTTTTTTTTCTAAGTATGAGTAAAATTCAATTCTACTAGATATACTGGATTCAATAAGGTCAGGAAATGGCAAGAAAAACAAAATCTTCCTACTCAACTTTCTAGTAAAATTGTTCCTTTTTTTCTCACACAAGGTAAAGTAGCTATATTTTTAGTTTACTTGAATATGCTCATCAATTAAAGAAAAAGAAAACGACATTTAACTGGATAGTGGGTTAGGCAGTAGGCCTGTTGATTTTCCAAGTAAGATCAGTGGTCAACTTTGGGAGAGAACTTTCAGTGGGAGAAAAAAGGCTAATATTTAATGAGTACCCTGTAACATTGTGAAGCATTTTTGGTCATAGGTTGAAATATTAGAGGAAAAGCCACGATTTTGACTAAGGTAGTAAGTTTAGTTAACTCTGTGATTTCATTTTCGATGGACTGCGTAAGCACAGAGAAAGTCCCACTCAGCTCTCTGTAGCTAATTTGAAGGAACAGAAATGAAAACAGATCAAAATTTCAAGTAATCTCTTTTGAGCCAAGTAGGAGGGTAAAAAAACTATTAATTACCAGAAAAGGTTCAGGAAGCAGGTGAACGTGGGAAGCAGGAAGAGCAGGCTGGTCCAGTGCCAGCTGCTTTGGAGGCAGGAAGGAAAATAAGACAAGGACAGGAGGGGACTACAGCATTATGTTATAGTGATTCTGACTGTAATACAGCTCTTCCGCCCAGTTCACTGTCTCCACTTTTATGGCAATACTGTACGAGAAGAGAATCAGGGAATCAAGATGTAACTAACTGATTGATAAGTCTCTTCAGATAGAAAAATTCAGTAACTTTGAATAGTCAAAAAAAAAAAAAAAAAAAAAAGCAAATTCCCATACCATGTGCAAATCAGTAAAAATAAAAGTGCACTATTATCTTTTTAGAGGCATATCTGAAGATGCTTTTGCTGGCCCACAGGTGCCTGAGTTTTTCAAGATAGAGGCTTATGGTATCAAGAACATCTGAATCTGGTTTCTAAAGTGAACTGGGACACTGGGGACAGACCTTTAGGGGCTGCCTCTGCTTTTAGATACTGTTTTGAAGGTAATAAAGAGGTTTTCCAGGGACCTGGTATGTGTCAGCTATCCCAGAACTTAACAGAAACAATTCCTACTGATTGTTTCAAATGCACAGGGGCTACTGAGTACAAGACAGGCTAAGGTTTATTCTGGGTTAAAAATACTCACTTCCAATCTCGGGAGATAAAATACTGTAGCTCTAATAGACGGTGTTCACAATCTTCCACCATCTTCTCTGTGTATAAATGTTCCATCAGGCATGAGAGGATCCTGGAGGAAAGCAGTAAAACTATGAGAAAGCAGTTTCGACAACAGGTTCAGCATTCTCATGTCAGTATTTCCTGGACCCAGAAAAAGCCACTCAGCTATTTTCCTAGTGTAGTTAGGGATTTATTTTTGTGAGAATCACTCAAATTAACTCAACTTAGCAGTGATTAAGTCTTCTGTTTGCTTTAGAGACACTTAGGACTCAGCTTGCACAAGATCTGTGTGCAGCTGCTTTGGGTTTAACTGTTTATTATGAAAATTTTCCAACATGCACAAAAGTAAAGAATTATATAATATCCACCAATCCTCCTCATAGGTTTATCAAGCTACTGCCAAGTTTGTTTAAACTCTACAATCTCTTGCTGATACTATAGAGCAAATTCCAGATACCACATCATTTTGTTGGTAAATAGTTTAGCATATTTCTCTATAGTGTGAGAACATAACACCATTATCCACCAAAAGAAATAATAAAAAAAAAATCCTCAATATCATGTAATATACTGTTAGTTTTTAAATTTTTCAATTATCACACGTCTTTTCACATGTCTGTTCAATCAGGACCCTGAAAAAGCCCACACATTCAATTGAACTGACAGTATCTTTATTTAATCTGTAGCAGGAAGTTCTCTCCTTCCTCCCTCTTCCCTGCCCCTTTGTGGCTGAGGCAGGTATTTTTATGTCGGTAAATACTCTTAATTAGTTTTAAGTATGTGTGTCTATCTCCTACAACCACACAAGAAGCTTAGAGGAAGAATACCTTTTTTCATTCTCCTACCACAGCATGAACAACAGGAGTGCATGCATAGCTGAATGATGACAAACATGGACTGCATTCATTTTATTATTGGGTTCTGCACCTTCAGTCTATATGGATTTTTGCAGATTGGGAAATCTGTTCTTACCTGCAACCTGGTTTTAAGAACTACTTGTACATCATATGGAATAAAAAAAAATGCATGAGAACCAAACACTTTACTATAGCATTTTTACAGCTTTCCTAGAGTTCCTTTTGTCTATGATTATCCTCTACACCCAGATTTTGCTTTCTAGTTCAAGTACAATTACTTTCTAATGATTATCAAGTAGCCAACGTATACAATGAGCTAAAATTCAAATAGGATGAAAAGTACAGAGTCAAAAATATGTGTCACTCAATCCTGAGCATTCTTCTCAGTTTAATTTGGAATTATTCAGTGGCCTAATGGATAGGCCTTTATGTGCTCAGTCACTGTCAATAAATAATGCTGAGTCTAAGGGGCTCCACATTATGGATGAGTGCACAGCCAAAGTTCTATTTCCAAGAACAGTTTTAACAAAAGTTGGTATGTGTTCCTGTTTAACAAAGTTTCAGTTAAGATCTTCAATAACCCAAAAGCCATGGGAGGGAACGTTTCCCTTGCTGCGTTGCCAGATAAAATACAACATGGATAAAAGCCACAAATAAGAACCTACATTGGGTCTCCTGATCTTATGTGTTTGCAGGCTGTCTGTATTACAGATTCACAAGCTTCATTCAATGCTCTATCGATGCGGTAATCTGCCCCAGGGTCAGTCTCCTGAATCAGTGTTTGAAGCTGGATTAAAAAAAATTAAGAAGGAAGAAAGTCACTTACACATCAGGGAAGAACAATGTTGTCTTCGTACAATCAGCTATCAGTCTGGTATATCACAATGTACTTATTTTTATATAACATTTAATGTGATTAATGTTTTAGTTTAGAATTTTTTTTTTAAAGATTTATTTATTTATACAAGAACTGGGGTACAGGCCAGAGGCGCGAGAGGGTGAGAGAATTCACCAGAGACAGAGTGGAGAGCAGAACAGGCAGACAGACCGAAGACACTTCTGAGGGGAGCAGCGGGCGAGGCAGGAGAGGTCTGCCGTGCCATGTGGGTTTCTCCCTGGCTGGCCAGGAATAGAATGAGCACTGCAGAGGCTGTGGACAGCTTCGCAGTGAGATGCTCAACCAGCTGCGCCACCAGGGAGGCCCTATCACAATGTACTCTTAACAAGGTCCTGCAATTATCCCGAGCTAAGCTCAAGAGCTCTTATGAAATACTTTTCAACTAGTTTCTTTACGTACATTGCAAGTTTTTCTGTTTACACCATTGTGCAGACTGCTTGATTACCTGTCTGACCCATTCCAATATAAACGCTGCCTCCTTCCTCAAATCTGCAATCTGTTAATCACATTACTAAATCTGACACTCATGGTCATGTCAGAATTGAGTGGAAAAGAGCACATAGAAGACATTTCTAGTTAAGAGACCTAATTTGGTCATAAGATCTAGAATGCGAATCTTGCTGCACAGATACTGGCATTCGAATCTGTGTATACTAGTTTATATAAAACAGATGTGAGATTTCTTTTAACTTGCAATATATCAATTACAAAAAAGCTAGAATACTTATAATTTTTTATTTTTCCTTAACCATCTTTTATAAACTAAAAGTTTGCTTTTATACATATACAGAGTTTGCTCATTATACATACACAGAAAAATACTTGTCATTGTGCAGCTGAAATTGAAACATCTACCTTAACATTTACTTTTCCCCGATCTGTCCTTTGTCACAGAATAAAGTAACAGCATGAGATGATGAGCTACAGATTCTTTTTTTCTGTCTTTGAGGAGAAAGTGATTGGGGCACAGAGGAAAAGCTCTAAATTAAGAATCAGGAACCTGAGTTCTATTAATAGTTCTGGTTCTGCCAGATATTAGCTTTGCGAACATGGGCAAGTTGATCAACCTCTGCATTCCAGATTCTCTAACTATGGAAGATTTTAAGAAATAATAATATATGGAAGAAAGCTGTGTAAACTGAGAAGCATTGTATAGATGTCAAAAAATCTTATTACTACAGGTGGGTAGCAGATGGTGTCTGGGGGTGGGAATCTTAAATAACAGAAAGCAAATTTGAAAACTACAGTCCTTACTGGTTGGGTTCCTTTTGTTCCACGGGAAACAATTAGAGCCCTTCCTGTGTCACAGATTTAGCCTCTGTAGGAACCTTCTCTGGTCCTCAAACATTTGACCCACAATCCCAGAGGGACTCATGAAAACACTGACACTACTGTTGAAAGTACACAGATCAAAAGGAAATGAAGAAAGAAAACTGAATTCTATCCACCCTAAGAAAGGTCAGTCTCCAGGATGAGAGAAATATGAAATATGAAAGTGTCCCAACACTCTGCGACAAGTTATTTACAAAAATTCTTGATGGCAATTTGGGAGAAGCTGCAGTTGTCATGGTTAGTTGGAAGGAAGATTACTCTCAAATGGCCACCAATTCTAGTTATGACATTGACAAAGACCAAAGTGTCGACCTCTATTTCTGGGGAAAGTTACAATCACCAGGGACGTATGGAAGTCTCCACAAGAACTGCGTCAGTTAGACAGCTGAGGCTGACAAGCAGACTCTTTGGAACATTCACAATGAATGCACTGGATTGCATTACTAAACGGAGAAAATAAATGCCCTATAGTCTCTAGTAGGCTAATAGCCTGGGGGAACACTGCCTCTCTGGAGTCCAGTGACAGCAGTGCGGGAAATAAACCTCAAGAAGCTGGAGCCCTTCCTAAGCAGATGTCTATCCCAGCTCCTCTCTGCTTAGGAAAAACCTGGGGAAGTGCTTCTGAGAAGTGAGAAGAGTCTGAGCAGTCACCTTTGGCCTTGGAGAGAGTAGGATCAGATTCGTTCAGACATAAATAAAGAGAATTTAATAAACTCAAGATTGCCTACATTTGGAAGAATATGTACTCACTAAGAATCTATCTTTATGCATCAGTTTGCTATTTGTTGAGAGATCACTAAATCAAAGCAGCACTAAAGAACAGGGAAACTACGGTCAATCGAGTGTCAAAATCTGTGTCAACAAAACTATGAAAAAGAAAGAAAACCACTCAAAATAAATTATTTCAAAATATTTCTCCATTTGATTGTGTATGGATAATGTAGTAGCAGACGAAGGAAAATCTCTCTCTTGGGATCATATATACCTTTAATTTTTTTTTTGTGAGCAAAAGCTAAAAACTTGGCACCCCTGCTGCATTTGTTATTATAAATTGTTCAGGTTCTTACTCAGTAAAAAGTATGATGGCAATGATACTGATGCATTGTATCTGTAATATTCCATTAACTTTACATTATGTACCTGATCTTCAGCTACTCAGTTGTTTATGAACCATGGATAAGAATAACTTTATGGGGCCTCCCTGGTGGTACAAGGGGTTAAGTGTCAGCACTATCAAGCTAGCTGCAGCCACTGCAGCACGAGTTCAATCCCCAGCCAAGGAGCTAACCCACATGCAGCAGACCTCTCCTGTCTCGCCTGCTACACTCCTCAGCAGTGTATTTCAGTGGCTCTGCCTGTTCTGCTCCCTACTCTGTCTCTGGTGAATCATCTCCCCCGCAACCTCTGTCCTACACTCCAGTTCTTAAATGCATCAATAAATGAAATCTTTTTTTTAAAAAAAGAATAACTTTATCTTTCCAAGCAAAGTTTACTAATTTCTCCCATCTATCTTTACATAACTGATTGTAGAGTTTGGGGATAGAGAAAGTGCCTTCTGTGCATAGTTTTCTTTACCTATTAAGAAAAGATTGGTAGGATTTTGAAAATGACATGCTTTCTTGATCCTCCAGGCCAGGAATTTATGCCACACTGTACATGAATAATCAAAAGAAACTCTTAGAAAATTTCAATTCATTTCATCTCTCTTGCAGCCTCAGTTAAATGAAATCTATTGAGACAATTTCTTTTGGTGGGGACCATTCCTGATTTGCCAAAACAGTGCCTTGATTCTCAGTTTCAAAAATCTAACCTTGAAGTTACCTTTTCCTTAAAAACCTTAGCAAACAATGCATTTTATCTTTCTTTAAGTGTATAGCATTTTTTATTAATTATGAACTCAAATTTCTGCTCTACAGCAAATTTCACATTCTTACTACAATTTGCCTAAAGAAACAACAGTCTGTGTCTGGCCTATAGTACCTAATGCTCACTGTAATGTCACCAATGACCCAGATGAAGCTCGCTGGGATGGTGGCAGAAAGGGGCTCCTTAGTAGATAAATGTCACATTCAAAATGGCAGTAGAAAATTTTCCCTTACCGCTTGCTGGCAGTTGGTGCCAAGGTTCCCTTTCTCCCCCCGAACGACTTTCATCAGACAATGCAAGGTTCGCCCTTTCCGATGTAATCCAGAACAGTGGTGTTCAATTTCCGCCCGACAGCTCAGGATGATCTCAGGGCTCAAAGAAAAGTCTTCCATCAACATGCGTCGGTAATCTAACATCTCCCCCTGGCATTCACTGCTCACTTGCCGCCCTAAGTAAGGATTTAAGTCATAACGTGAAGGGTAGTGAGATTAGGATCAGATATGACACATGTTAAAAGTACACATTTTCTTCTATAAGAGACCAGTTGTGTTACTATCTTCACTAAAAAAAACTTAGGACTTAGCAAAAGCTTTAACAGCATAAAAGGAGCTTAACACTCTAGAGACTAGGCTTTATCTTGACAGTATGCTGTACTACACAAATTGCACAATGAATTAATGATGTGACTATTTTGCCAAAGGTAATCTTGTCAGTAAGATAACCAGTGGGGTAAAAATGGAAGTTAAAGAACAATCCTACTGTCTACACAGTTAAGCTAGTAGAAAAACACAAAATTAGAACCTCTTGCCTACCATGGACTCGTCCCCAGACTGCTGGTGAATGCCTGAAACTGTGCATAGTAACAAACCCTATATATACTGTTATTTTCCTAGACACACATAACCATGATAAAGTTTAATTTATAAACTAGACACAGTAAGAGATTAAAGCAATAATAAAAGAGAACAAGTAGAGCAATATACTTCAGTAAAATTTATGTGAATGTAGTCTTGTTCTCTCAAAATATTTCACCGCATATATTTTGACCATAATATATTGCCTGCAGTAATATTTTGACCACAGGTGAACTGAAACTGCAAGAACTGAAATTGTGGATAAGGGGGGGGTATTACTATACCCTTCAAATATTCATTGCAGCCCCCACCACCACTTTCCTTAATCTGTAAACTGTGAAAACATAATTTTTATTAAAAACAGCTTTCCTGACATTTAATAAACACACATACTTACAACATACAATCTGACATGTATACACTGGTGAAGCAAGCCGTCCCCACAGTCAGAGCATAACCATGCCTGTCCATCCAAAAGTCCCTTCGTGCCTCTTCACTTTAGGTACTCCCCTTCCTTTCCTATCCATCCCACCAGCCCCATCCCATCCACCCCTGATGTGCTCGCTCTGACTACAGACTAATTTTTTAACTTGTATTTTTCAAAGTTAATATAAATAAAATCTGGTATAGACTCTTTTTTTTTTTTCATTCTGACGTCTTTGACTCACTCTATTTTGAAATTCATGTCTCAACAGTTCATTCTTTAATGCTGAGTTATATAATTCTATTAATGTGGATATATGATTATTTGTTTATCCCTTCAACTGTTGACAGATATTTGGGTTATTTCCAATTTTGGGCTATTACAAATGAGACGGTTATGATGATCCATCTGCAACAGCCTATTGGTGATATGCTTTCATGGCATTTGGTGACCTAGGAGTTACATGGCTGGATCATATGATAATGTATGTTTGACTTAAAAAAAAAACCCTAACTGGCAAACTGTTTTCCAAAGTGGTGGCACCATTTTAAAATCCATTAGCAGTGTGAAATAGCTCAGGTCTTCCACGTTATTGCCAACACTTAATATAGTTAGTCTTTTTAATATGAGCCATCTGTATAACATTTTTTAATTATTTGTTTTGTATCCTTCAGTCAATTATTTATGGAATTTTTTTGTGTACATTTCTTATGAATTTGCAATTTAAGAACATTAACTCCATTTTGTTAAATACCAGAATTAGATTATATCATGCAAACTGCTATGAATAAGCTTTTCCATATACTTTACACATAAATATACTTTAGACAATTATCTCTACCTTTCCATTTTAGAAATTTTTCATCTAACACCCAGACCATAACCAAAATTCTACAACCATTTCCAAAATGTTCTTTGGTATTCAATCCAAGTCCATGTATCATCTGTGATTGCTATTCCATCACTACAAAGTTTAAGAATCTTTTACTATCTGGGACCTCCCTGGTGGTGCAGGGGTTAAAGACAGCGCTATAAAGCTATCATCAGTCATTGCAGCATGAGTTTGATCCCTGGGGGCCAGGGAGCAACCCACATGGCAAAGCAGACCTCTTTCTCTGGTGAATCCTCTCACCCCCTAGACCTGCACCTCTGGCTTATCCCCATTTCTTGTATGCATAAATAAATAAATCTAAAAAAAAATCTTTTACTATCTAGACATAAAAAAATTCACCAAAAAGTCCTGAGTTTTATTTAATGATTGATTTTGGGGCCTCTCTGGTGGTGCAGGCGGTTGAGCACAGTGCTGTGCAGCTGTCCACGGCCTCTGCAGTGTGGGTTGGATCCCGGCCAGCCAGCAAGATACTCACATGGCGTGGCAGTCCTCTCCTGTCTTGCCCACTGCTCTCCTCAGCAGTGTATTTCGTCAGTCTGCCTGTTCTGTTCCCCGCTCTGTCTCTGGTGAATCCTCTCACCCTCCCGCACATCTGGCCTGTACACAGGTTCTTGTATAAATAAATAAATCTTTAAAAAATGTTTGTTTGATTTTTATTTTCATTTAACTTTTTAATTACTAACCTAGCAACATTTATTCAATAAGAGCTAGGAATTTCATTCTTGCAACCTTGCTGTCTGACTCAGTGAAGACAATTCTTTATTTTACTGTTTAATTTCTTAATATTATCACTATTATAGGGCCTCCGCTGGTGGCACAGCGGTTGAGCTCTGCAGCGCGGGTTTGATCCTCAGCCACCGCCGAGGGTCCCACATGGCGCACAGACCTCTCCTGCCATGCCCGCTGCTCCCCTCAGCAGTGTATTTCATCAGTCCGCCTGTTCTGTTCCCTGCTCCGGCTCTGGTGGATTCTCTCACCCTCTCACGCTTCTGACTGTACCCAGTGCTCGTATAAATAAATAAATAAATCTTTTTAAAAAAATTATCACTATTATAATAACAACAGTACTTACACTTAATGTATGCTAAGTGCTATGCCAAATCTTACCTCACTCAAACCTTGTAAGAACATCTCAATATAAGTAGTATTATATTTGTTTTACAGATTTTTTTTTTAAGATTTATTTTTATTTATTTATGCACACAAGAACTGGGGTGTGTGCCAGAGGTGTGGAGGGGTAAGAGGATTTACCCAAGACAGAGTGGGGAGCAGAACAGGCAGATCTACTAAAATATACTGCTGAGGGGAGCAGTGGGCAAGGCAAGAGAAAACTGCTGCACCATGTGGCTAGCTCCCTGGCTGGCAATCAAATTCATGTTGCAGTGTCTGACGATAGCTTGATAGCGCTGAGACTTACCCCTGTGCAATCAGGGAGGCCCTGTTTTACAGATTTTAAAAAATCCTCATTAGAGACTAAGAAAAGTAAGTGGTCATGCAGTCATTAGTTTAGTAATAAAGCCATAATTTGAAGCCATATCTCTGACCCAAATTTCATCTGCTGTATCATTATGCTGCCCTGACTCTCCTAAAAATGCAGCAAAATATGCCTTTTTAAAATTAAAAGATTTGGATTTGAGAAACATACATTACTTTTTAAAAAATGTAAAGAAAAATAAGAGGAAGGGCTTTGAACAAGGCCTAGGGATACCAAGTCTGCAGAGCAGAGTTATGCTACTGAATTATAAGGCACAGGTGTATTGAAAGAGCAAACTTAGGAGAAAACTAATATTTATAGGTAGAAGAGGCTTGAGAATGTGAATACAAAAAGGAAAGGATAGGAAGAAATTAACTTACCTCTGTGCACAGCTGACTCCAGACACATTAGAAGGTAGGAGAGTCTGGCTTCCCGGGACCGAGGGAGGTTTTCCACATTGCACCGGTATTTCTTCAAGTCACTCTTACAGGATTTGGCCAGTGAATAACTGACTTTATAGTCCTGGGCAATCAGCTTTTGGCGAGTTGTTAATGCTTCTCGACACTGAGGACAGAGTGCAGCAGAGTTGTAGGATGACTGAGGTGACCCAACTGGTCACATGTGCCACTAAGACAAGAAGAGGCTCAAGGCCAAGTTCATGTCAACAACAGCAGTTGTTACCAAAACTGCCTGTTTAAAGTTTGGTTTAAAATTGAGCACAAGCATGCTGACTAGTGTGGTTAGAGGCAAGGGTAAATGAGTGAGGAAGCCTGGACTTCTACAGTGAACTGCTGGTTGTTGCTGCAACAGCAGCTATCCTCAACACACCAATTGAATATATTAACTTGACAGTGTTCTTTCCCTCCTCAGCAATATCCCTAAAGCATATTTCACCAGAATCAAAGTGATAACTGATAAAACATTGGCAGTTCCAGTCTATTCATCTTAAATAGAATTATTCAATAGTAAAAATGATATAAAGACCTGAAAAGAAAAAACATTTCTTCAGGTCTGCATAGGACAATACATGACAGGACAGGAAAACTAAAACTAATTATTTTTAAAAGTTATAAAAGATCATTGAATTCATCCAGGGTCTGAGGACTAGCAGTAATGAGATTGCATAATGAAATAGCTGCTGGAGAATGAAACAGCTAATCCCTTTGAAGCACACTGGTTTGGTTAGCTTAAACTTCCTGAGTAGTAGAGGAGGCATCAGTGTGCTCCTGATATAAAATTCTCCAATTTTACTCCCAAAATTGATTCCTAGTAGGCTTTCCCATGTCTAGAAAATCACAATTAAAGCATCATTACCTTGGCTTAACTGAAATATGCTTGGTACCCCACTAAAAGTCAAGTACCTCACCTCTGCAAAGCACAAGCTTTACTAGTCATTTATATTTGGTAAGAGTCTAAGAATACTGTTCACAAGGATTTGAGGTAGCTTTCAAAAAAACAAAGAAAATACTGGTTTGTTTTTGAAAATAATAATTCTTACCTTTTCACTCATGGATTCTTCAAACTTATGGTTAAAGAGGCACTTATACACTCTGCCCTCACCAGCTTGTGTCTGTAAGAGGGAACACATACATTACAGCAATGACGACTGGCTAGGTAGTTATGCTGGGCACTGTTCACTACCTTCTAAGAAACCTCCTGTAACTATAACAATGTACACCTTTGAATAGTTCAGCCATTTATAAAATTTAGTAGCTTTTGAATAGTGCCCACAGTAAAGATGAAAAAATTTCCCCATGATGCTTGCTACTGTCATTTTTTCTCAGATGAACTGATACTTTGGGAACCAAGAGATGTGTCAACGAGTCTCCCTCCCTACAACTTTATGCTAAGAGTCAATAAAACTTATAATCAGTGGCTCTGATGGTTAAAGCTGTTAATTCAAAACAGCAGGCAGAGTGGGAATGTACTCAAGTCACTCCCAGTCCTTTGTTATAAGGCTAGATATTATTTAATTTAGGGTTAGAAGGTTGTTCTAAAGGGTCTGCAGGTGGTAATCAAGGATATGGTTTCAAAAGTAACCTCCTGCTGTTTTTCATTTTAGCCAAAGACATAAATAGAAGTAAGTAACATGGCAAAGTTTTAGCCGTGGAATAGATGTTAATGGGATTCCTTGGTAAAATAGGATTTCCACAGCTAAAATTGACTTCTAAGAAATCAAATTGAGAAGTGAGATAAGGTAGAAAAAATAATGTATGGAGATTGTCAGAAGCCAGCTGTTACCTAGATGGGAAATCATGATGACACCGCACCCACTATCATATTTTCCTGTAACCAACTTACCTTCTACTTCAGTTACTTCTCAACATGCAAGGTTTTGTATTGGTTTATTTTATTTTGGAATAGGGTATTTAAAATACATTTTTTTTAAAAAAAGGAAGAAAAGCTTCTGAGTTCACTCACATTTTCACAAAAACGCTCCCGATCATCTCGGCAAGCAAAATATAAATGCCGGTCCAAATGAAAGTCATCTGAGGACAGTTCAGCAACCCGGAGAATGGCTTTCTTGCAGAGGTCAGAGACCTGAATTTTGGGATCTCCTTCTTCTGCTTCCTTCACCAGGCCTTTCTCCAAACACGATACCACCTCACCTTGTGAATGTACATCCTAAAATAGTAATGACACCGGTATTTATAAAGAAATCTCACTACACTGAGTTTCAAATGAACATCATTTGCTTTAAAAAAGAGAGAGGGGAAAAAAAAAAAACCCAACATATAGGTAGTTTATTGATGTGCTAATGAGCAATCAAGTGGGAACCAATCTGGAGATTACAGAAAATGCCCATAAAAATCTCCTGTGAGAAGATAATGCTTGCTGCAAAGGGAAACAGAGATCCTGGGAAATTTAAGTATAGCCTAGTACTAGAAATAAGAACCTGAGATTTTAAATTTAAAAGTCAGAAAATTTTAAAGAAATTACATTGGTCCAATGCTGTGATCACCGTTCATTGTCAATATTGAAACTACACCACAGATCTCTATCGTTGGGGGCTAGATATTTCCCAAACAATAGAGTCTTCAGTCAACTTTAAAAAACAACATGCAACCATGAAATCTGTTGAGGAAAGACGTTAGGCACCTTTTTTTCCCTTTTCTACTCAATACTGTCCCAAGACTCCAACACATATGATCTATAGAGTAATAATCACACTTTGATGCTTTGGATTTGTCTTAATGTGATTTGATGATATTACCACTCTTATACAGAATGTTTTTAGAAGCTTTCCTAAAACAATCCAATTATCTTTAATTGTACATTGCATCATCCCCACTGCAACCACAAGCATTCATTCATTCAAAATATGAGAAATTGCCCTTAAATATTTGCTAATCAAGAGTCTTAATATTGGACACTCCCTGGTGGCACAAGGGGTTACGACGCAACCTATGAAGCTATCTGCAGCCACTGCACGAGTTCGATCCCCGGCCAGGGAGGTGACCCACATGGCGCAGAAGACCTCTCCTGACTCGCCCACTGCTCCCCTCGGTAGTGTATTTCAGCCAATCTGCCTGTTCTGTTCCCCACTCTGTCTCTGGTGAGTCCTCTCAACCCCCACACCTATGGCTTATACTCCATAAATAAATAAATCTTAAAAAAAAAAAAGTCTTAATATTCTTCCTCCCCCATGTTGCCTGGTCCGTAGAAAGCAGGTCCCTCCTTCCTCTTTTTAAGAACCTTTTTATTACATACAGTTGATTTCATAGACATGGTATTTTTTATGGCAAGATTTTTTTTTGTGTGTGTGTGTTGTATGTGTGTGAATAAATGATAGCACTATGTTTTATGCTGCTTTGGTTTGACCCTCCCGTGGCGCAGGGGGTTGAGCGCCACACTGTGAAGCTGTCCGCAGCCTCCGCAGCGCCGGTTTGATTCCAGCCGGGCAGGGAGAATCCCACATGGCAAGGCGGACTTTTCATGTCTTGCCCGCTGCTCCCCTCAGCAGTGCCTTCAGCCCATCTGCCTGTTCTACTCCCTGCTCTGTCTCTGGTGAATCCGCTCACCCTCCTGCAACTCTGGCCTGTACCCCAGCTCTTGCATAAACAAAAATAAATCTTTAAAAAAAAAAACAAAACAGGTAGGAAACATCACTTCAAGAAACATATCGATTCAAAAAAATAATATATATATGTAGATATACATATTTTTTCTCTTTTAATTTTCTTGGTATGTTCTACACCACATCAATTTCCAAATATTTATAAATATTCATGTTTTCTCCTAACATAACCAAGAAGATGAGGTAGAGCTGTGGTATCTATTGTGCAGATGGGGAAACAGATCAATTCCTCTAAGCTGCAGAATGTAAAGTGCCTAACTAACTGTCCATTATTTACTGTGAGTTTTGCATATTTTTCCTGAGGAGATTTCATAGCTTTCATTAAGTTTTCAATAGGTTTGTTGACCCAAAAGACATTAGAAAGCACATAATTCATAATTAACACTCAAGTTTGTATGACTTTGGCCCAAATGGGCAAGGTCTACCTATTTCCACTCCGCAAAGGAAAAACAAATCTATGATAACAAAGACTTGGACAGAAACATACTATAAACATGATTTTATGTTATAACACAACGTCCTATATCAAACTTTAGTGGCCCATAATAATTTACTTAGATGGTTGCCAGTAATTAGGTCCCAATCATATAAATGAGGCTGAAAATAAAAGTATGATGATAGGATTCAGATTCAGCCTTCATCCCGGTATCACACAGTAAACAAATGATATGTAATAAGACTAATGTTTCCCTGTACACTAGTTACTATTTAGGGCTGTTATATTTATGCAGAATCATCATGGGTTGAGACCACCCCCCTCCCCCAAGGAATCTGAGATTTAATTTTAATTATAGCTCTTACGGCACACACTGGTCCTGGGCCATAACATTAATCTCCACTACCTGTCTTCATTCATCGTAACCTTACGTAATATTTTCAAATACAGATTTTTCAGAAATTCTTCTCAGTTACCCAGTGCCTCTGATATTTTCAATTCAGCTCAACTGAGTTTTAGAACTGAAATGTATGCAAATATTTGACAAAGAAAGCTGCATGGTTAATTACTGAATAGGAATGAAATCAAGGGAGGTGAACTACACACTGGCATACTGTCTATGAGAAAATAAAATCATTTAGGTTTAAAAAGTCATTAATACACAGACTTGAGGGCCTTCCCTGGTGGCACAGCGGTTGAGCACTGGGCTGCGAAGCTGCCCGCAGCCTCAGCAGCGCCGGTTCGTTTCCCCAGCCACCGGAGAGAGTCCCACATGGCACGCAGACCTCTCCTGCTGCCCGCTGCTCCCCTCAGCAGTGTACTTTGTCAGTCTGCCTGCTCTGCTCCCTGCTCTGGCTCTGGTGAATCCTCTCACCCTCCTGTGCTTCTGGCTGTACCCAGTGCTTGTATAAATAAATAAATAAATCTTAAAAAAAAAAAAAAAACCCCACAGATTTGACAAGTGAATAACAAATGATTCTGTAAATGGACTTAAAATGAATTTAAAACATTGTATTATAATGAGACAAATGTCTGTCTTGAAAATATGACTGATCAGTTTTCAGTAGTTCATTTGGTAGTATTTTTTTAATTCTCTATACACCTTGTCCTTTTTATTTTAGGAACAGAAAAGGATAATGCCTCAAAATAGTAGGCAAGAACTCAGTCTTCATCTCTATTAACCATTCAGTGTTTTTAGTGTTTTGTGATCTATTCCACTAAACAAAGAGAGAAAAATTATTCAAAGTAATTGGTTGAAAACAGGGTGATACAATGATGTTTGGAGATCTGCATTTTCATTTTAAAAATATTTATTTACAAAATACTAAAGATTTTACTAATATAATCTTTGTTCTAAAAAATATATATTTAAATTTTGAGAAAAATCATTAGTTTTGAAATCATGACATTTAAATGTTCATACAGAGGCAGGGTACAAACAGATTAACCATGACCTCTGATCCTTTGACCTTTGGAGAAAGTCAGTTCAGATCCAGTCACAAAAGGGTTTTTACAGAGTTTTCAATTGAATTTGTGGAAACAAATTTCAAAGTGATAGGCCTGTTTTCTTCTACACTCCGAAGTCAACTCATTACTTTACATATCTAATTAAGTGACTTCAGAGAAGTAAACTATAGTCAGAAAAGGCAAAGAAGGGCCAAGGACATGCCTCCCTCATTATTAAACTTGGCTGATACACCAGAGTGAGTGTCATAGGAAGGAACATGCTTTTTCAGAAGTGCAGGCATAAGTCCAACTCACTGTCCCAAAATACAAGAAAAGTCTTTGATGCTAGGGTGGAGGCCTGGTATGAACAGAAATTCATCTAGTTGTTAGGCATAAAAAACATAAAAATGACCAAAAGAATGTGTATTTTGATGGTGCATAGAAAAAAATTTTTGGTTATTTTTTAAAAAGTCAAGAAAACAATCTTCACTGTCAGGTCTTTGGGTTCCAGCACTGCTCTCTTCTGCAGCTCTTTCAGTCACTACACATGCAGCAGATGGCAGGTTTTATACTGACAGGTCACACTACCAGTGGGAGGCTAACCAGTGGGTGTCTAGTGGCCAACAGGGAAGAACTACAACAGACAGAGGTGAACTGGAATGGTCTACTCCACTGTGTACGTAACTGATCAAAAATATGAAAAGGTGTCACTACTGATTACTCAAAGGTGTGTCTGGAACACATGTGAAGATTTAAAAAGAGTGAGGTTTGGAATTGGATGTAATCTCTAACACCTTAAATAAAGTCAGAGGAGCTTCCTGAATTATCAGGAGACTTAAGTACTTTTGTGCCCTTTTTAGTGTCTGCTAGAGAGGGGAAAAAATTGTCTTTTTTATTAAAACTGCCCTTTCTTTAGCTGCCTGAATGCTTTATGCCAAGTTCACAGTACTCTCAAGATTGCCTCGGAGGTACCCTGTGAAAGGAGCAAAGCCTGTGCTGGTGTGAAGAAAAGGAACTGAGTTCCAGCATTCCAGGCCAGCTACAGCTCCCTTTGTCAGGGAAGGAAGCCTGCAAACCACAGAACAATGAACAAATACAGGGCAAAAAGACACATGGATTTCATTTTCTGTCATTTTTCCTAAAGAGAAGATTAATGAGTAGTGGTAATTAACATCTTAGGCCACAAGTCTGAATCCACCGCTCCTATCAGCTATCTGTTGCTTCTCAGGAGTTTCTTTCATTTTTGCAGAACATACAAATTCTGGATAAATCTGGCTAACTCTCCATTGTGACCTCCAGACAACAGACTAATAAAGACAAAAAATAAAATCAGATATAATTAAGGAAGAAGAAGCTACCTGAGTACTTATTTTCTGTCCTGTCTTTCCTAAAAAAGAGTTCCTCTGAGATAAAGAAAACAAAATATATAGTTCATTTATTCTGACAAGCTAGACATTCCTTCACCAATCTTAAATTTTTCTAATATTTACAAACCTCCTTGTAAACTGCTTACAAAGTATTTTTTCATGGTAATGCTGAGGAATATGCAGAGAAAGATTAGAGAACTAAAGTCTCTCCTAATCTACCTACTATCCCCATAATAACACAAAAATAATAATATGCTTTGTCAAAAGAACATTATAAGTAACCAGTAATTGGTTTAGTATTTTGAAACTAAAACTACTCTTAGCAGGTACTATTCTTCTACTTCCCCAGAGTCGTGAAAAATTTGTTACAAACAGATGAAACGCATTCACAAGTGTGGGGTCGTCTGCACCTCCACTTTAAGAATAACTCTAGCCCTAGCTTTTTCCTATACCAGTTTTACACAAAGCTTTTCATCCATCGAGTTCACATGTCCTCTTTGCGGGGAAGGTCAGTGTAGTAGATACCTTTTCTCCTAGCCGAATGCTGCCACATTTCAGAATGTTGATGTCATTTTTGCAGTCATCCATGAAGCCGCAGATTAGACGGTAATCACTAAAGATGATGGCCGTCATCTTGGTGATGTATTGGTGACACTGATAGTCAGTGATGTTGCCTCGGTGATCCACCAAACAGGAAAGCAAGTAACCTTTTCCAACTGGCTCATCAGCACATTCTTTAATCTGCTCAAAAGAAAATGACTTTTATTACAAGTATTCTATTTTCATATCAAACAACCTTTACGAAATACGTCTCACTTCTTCATTGTTGATTTTCCATCTCTATACTTAAGAAAATGAAAGGAAAACACTTGGAAATACATTTTTTTAAAAAAAGAAAATAGGGGACCTCCCTGGTGGCTATCACCACTGTGGCCTGAGTTCAATCCCCGGCCAGGGAGCTAACACACATGTGGTGCAGCAGACCTCTCCTATCTCGCCCACTGCTCCCCTCAACAGTGTATTTTAGTAGATCCACCTGTTCTGCTCCCCACTCTGTCTCTGGTGAATCTTCTCACACCCCACACCTCTGACCTCATCCCAGTTCTTCTATGAAAAAATTGAAAAACAATTTTTTTGTTTTAATTTTACTGAAGTATAATTAATAAGCTGTTAATATTTGCAGCTTCAACTTGTGCTCTATTGCTAAGTCCCTCTATCCACGTAAGAATGCACTGGATTAATTGTAGGAGCTTAATCTAGGGAACAGGTCTGGAAAACAGGTGCAGAACTGCAGTCTAGTTGCATGTCCCAAGCCAAGCGCCACAGCAACTGTTACTGTTAGGTAAACCCAATGGCAAGGGGAGGGATAGTGAAGGCATAATATTACTTCTTGACATGACATTAATGTGTTCTCAGTTAACTAAGGATTTGGACATGTGTTTTTGAACTTAGTAGAATCCTGGTTTCACCACTGTGGTCTGGAAACAATTTTAAAATGATGATCAGTGCAATCTGGCAAGAAGTTTGGGAAGGGGAAGGGCACTACAAAAGTAATTTGGGGGCCTCCCCGGTGGCGCAGTGGTTGAGCACTGGGTTGCGAAGCTGCCCGCAGCCTCTGCAGCACTGGTTCGATCCCCGGCCACCGGGCAAGGGTCCCACATGGCGCGCAGACCTCTCCTGCCGCCCGCTGCTCCCCTCAGCAGCGTACTTTGGTCCTTCTGCCTGTTGTGCTCCCTGCTGTGGCTCTGGTGAGTTCTCTCACCCTCCAGCGCTTCTGACTATACCCAGTGCTTGTATAAATAAATAAATAAATCTTTAAAAAAAAAAAAAAAAAAAAAGAGGGTTTCTTTTTTTTTTAAAAAAAGGTAATTTGGATGGTTTAGGCATATAATCTAGTGGATCAAGCAAGAGTGATTCCACATGGTTAGTGTTCCTACAAAAGTGCATCCCAAACCACAAGAACTAATAAAGCAAACTAGCTAAAAAAATGCTGAAATTCAAGCATTAAAAAGGTGAAATCTACTTACAGGCTTATAAGCTTGAACAGAGAAGCTTAAGTAGAGAAGGTTGTTTGAAAAAAGTCTACTGCATTTGGAGAAATTAAAAACAAACAATAATGGCAGGTTTGACAAGAGGAAGAAGCCAAATGTAAATGTTTATTTTGAATATAAATGAGAAGGGAATGTTTTACTAGCATTTTGAAACCAATAGGGACCATGCTTCACTATCACACTATCTATTGTAAATATGTACACAGGATAAAATAAATACAATCTCCTTTTCCAAAAGGTGCTGGGTGAAGGACACGCCACATGCTCTCCCATGGGCAACTAGGTCTCATCATGTCCAACCACAGAATCAAATCTAGACCCAGTAAAAGATTCAGTTCAAGACAGAAAATTGTGTTTACTGTTAAAGAAGAAATTAGGGATTTAAGTAAACAGTCTCACATTGGCTTCTAGGTAGCAGAGATCTTCAAGTCAATGGACGCAATTGTTTCAGTTTAATTGAGCACTTTTTCTGTGAGGGTCATGAATATGTTTCCAGAAGAGGTTTTGTTTTTGAGCAAAATAGTTAAGTTTCAAAGGGAAAGGAGAAATAGTTCTTGAAAATCTCAGCATTTGTATATCACCTACTGAAAAAAAAAAAACCCTATATGAAAAACAGGCCTAATGGCAGATACCTTGCTTTTAAAACTTAATGAAATAGAAGTAACCATAAGGCCCTAATTTGGGCAATCAGGGTTCTCCCTGATGGTGGAAGGGGTAAAGATGCAACCTATGAAGCTCACTGCAGCCACTACAGCACAAGCTCGATCCCTGGCCAGGGAGGTGACCCACATGGTGCAGCAGACCTCTCCTGACTCTACCGCTGCTCCCCTCAGCAGTGTATTTCAGTCGATCTGCCTGTTCTGTTCCCCACCCTGTCTCTGGTGAATCCTCTCACCCCCCAAAACTCTCGCCTGTACCCCAGTTCTTGTATGTATAAATAAATAAATCTTAAAAAAAAAAAGGCAATCAGCCATTCAAAAATTTGAAGGAAAACCAAGAACACATTTGGAAATGAAGCTCCAATAAGAAATTAAATGTATATGTATTTTTTAAAAGATTTATCTTAGGGACTCCCTGGTGGCGCAGCGGTTGAGCACTGGGTTGCGAAGCTGCCCACAGCCTCTGCAGCGCTGTTTCTGTCGTCCGCCTGTTCTGCTCCCCGCTCTGGCTCTGAGTCCTCTCGCCCTCCCGCGCATCTGACTATACCCAGTGCTTGTATAAATAAATAAATAAATCTTTAAAAAAAAAAAAGATTTATTTTATTTATGCATCCAAGAACTGGGGTATAGCCACAGGTGTTGGGGGAGGAGGCGGTGAGAGGATTCACCAGAGACAGAGAGGGGAGCAGAACAGGCAGAATGACTGAAATACACTGCTAAGGGGAGTATAAGGCAAGACAGGAGAGGTTTGCTGCACCATGTGGGTAGCTCCCTGGCCAGTGGGGATCGAACTTGTGCTGCAGAGGCTGTGGATAGCTTCACTGTGCTGAGACTTAAGCCCTTGTGCCACCAGGGAGGCCCCAAATTAAATGTATATTGAGTATCAATCATGAGCTTTTACTGAAACACAGAGCTCTAAGATCTATTCGTAGTTCACCACCAATTACAACAAGTTGTAGAGTCTGAATTAGAAGTTCATGCTTTTAACTTTTCTACTAGATAGGAGAGTTCCATAAGAGAGAAATATAAGTTCTATGATTATCTGCAAAGAAGCATTAAATTATCAACATCTTTATAAATGGGAGTAAATTCTGAAGTGGTTGGGAAGCAGATTTGTAAATTAGAAAAATGCAATAGTCACTCTACTTTTGACATGAGACAGGAGGAAACCAGGCAGTATTTGACTTGTAGAGTCTTGTAGAGTAAATGGAAAGTCTGGTTTGCAGTTATTCTTGTGAGGTTGATTTTCTCCTTGCAAGTAGGAGAAAAACAGGACCCTAAAATTAATAAGGTAGGAGAGCAAGATATAGAAGAAAACATTTTGTGGGAAGTATATTCTTTCCTGATATTTAATTTCTCTGATCCAGTACTATCCTTCTCTGAGGAAGAAGTCCCTTTGTTACACAAATACTTTACAAAACCACCACACTCCATCACAACTGTCATTACATATGCTTTATAAGAAACTGTCATTACATATGCTTTATAAGAACTCTCCTTTGTCAAATTTATTATATATGAACATATGAAATAAACCAGCAAAGAGTGAAGTTTTTCTGGTAAATTTGCATCTACTGTAAGGTAAATTTCCACATAGCAAATTGTTATGTATAGTATATTCACAGAGCTAGCTAAGGGAGTTTGAGCAGTTTACTAAGGCTAGAAGTTAAAGATCAATGTTACCAAGACAATCTATTCTATTCAGAAGTGCCAGGGTAAATATGAAGTTATTGTTTGAAAAAAAAAAAATCTGATCTAGTATTAGGTTTGAGGAAGAAAACAGGTTCTATAAGTGCCCATAATGACATAAGCGAGGAACATTATGTTGAGGGTTTCTCTGGCTGGAACAGGGTCTTCCTTAAGAGCTCAGAAGAGGTCTGGACCAAAGTCACCTATGAGTTAGTATAAGGACAGATCAACATGTTATAAGATCTATGATCATAAACTTTGAAATCTCTGAATTTCTGAAATTTCTATAAATGATCCCCCAACCTAAAAATTTCAATACCACAATTTTTACTATTATTTGTTTACAGTGAGCCAAGAAAAATAACTAAAAAAATTTCCCCAATTAGCAGTCATAGAGTGATATATATTTTCATTAATGATTTTTGTCTTTATATTCAACTTTGATTTATAACATTATACACAATCTTTTTACAAACCTTCTTTATGCTAACTCCTATTATATTTGAAACATTTGCTCCTGGAGTTCGACTGATCCAACTGCATAGCCCAAACACTTAGGAATGCTTGTGGGCCTCCTGAGGAACCCATTCTGATATGCCTGACACAAGCAGATTGTACAGTGTGGGAGAGCAGCGCTGATGACAGAAGCACTTCTATTCTCTGCGGCCCAGAGAAGCCTGAGCCTGATTTCCAGTACGTGTGAATCAACAGCACTCCACTGTAAATAGGTGAACATAAACCAAAAAAGTCTAATCACAGCCCCGTTTGCCTATCTCTCAACCAATACACAAGTGAATTCTAAGTAACTGAGTCAGCCATTCCTCTCTTAAGGACTGGTCTGATCAATAGATGTAATATTCTCCTCTAAGCCATTCAAATTAACACCTTTTTTTGTTTTGTTTTAACAAAAGGACAATTTTTCAAAGTTATGAATTCAAAGTCATTAAAAAGAAAAAAATTAAAATTAAAATCCCTGATAAGGTTTTAAAAACATTATGTTCTGGGCTTCCCGGTGGTGCAGCGGTTGAGCGCTGGGTTGCGAAGCTGCCCGCAGCCTCTGCAGCGCCGGTTCGATTTTCAGCTGCTCCCGGCCACCAGAGGAGGGTCCCACATGGCGCGCAGACCTCTCCTGCCACCCGCTGCTCCCCTCAGCAGTGTACTTCAGTCCTTCTGCCTGCTCTGCTCCCCGCTCTGGCTCTGGTGAATTCTCTCACCCTCCCGCGCTTCTGACTGTACCCAGTGCATGTATAAACAAAACAAACGAACAAACAAACAAATAAATAAATAAATAAAACATGCCTCTATTAAAAAAAACAAAAAACAAAAAACATTATGTTCTGCTTACATGAAAAAGTCTAGCCCTGAAGCTCAGATTTTCAGTTACAGTTTTCACAACCAGTAGTTTCCAGGTATAGCTCCATTCTTTTCAAATCTTTCAAATTCTTTCACAACCTACCTCTGATATGGTAGATTTGCAAACCTCTCTGGCCACAGATTCAAATTTGGGATCCGTAGTTAGATTCAGCTTGTAATTCCACAACAACTAAGTAAAAGAAAAACAAAGATCTAGTTAACAGTGTTAAATTTATCATTGATGGTTATTATAAATAAGTGATAAAAAGCCATTATACAGAGTCAGATAAAGCATATTCACACCAGTTAAAACAGGAAAGATTAAATGCCAAATAATTTTTAGATAAAAAGAAAAACACTGTGTAGACAAAATAAAATTAACACCTTTTTTTGTTTTAACAAAAGGACAATTTTTCAAAGTTATGAATTCAAAGTCATTAAAAAGAAAAAAATTAAAATTAAAATCCCTGATAAGGTTTTAAAAACATTATGTTCTGCTTACATGAAAAAGTCTAGCCCTGAAGCTCAGATTTTTAGTTACAGTTTTCACAACCAGTAGTTTCCAGGTATAGCTCCATTCTTTTCAAATCTTTGACTTGACACATACACCGTGAGGTCTACTTTGAGTTAAGACATGCTTTAACATGTCTTAATCAAGAAAATATCTACAGCCATTACAATCACAGGTGAGGGGTAACTATTTATCCTTGCAGCTTCAGCTAGAAATTCTCAGTAAGTGATCTAATATCAAACAAGTAGTAAAAACGAGACTTTGAACTCTGCTGTGATGGAGAGAAGGCATAGGGGCTTTGTATGGTGTAAAATAGGAAGAGATTCTGGGGGGAGGGAGAGGGCTAAGTGCCCTTCTTCCCTATAATCCAAGACTAAAGAATACAATGAACCACATACTTATCACTTCTAATGAGGTACCCCACACAATCTAATCTCAAGGAGCTTCATAGGTTATTAGAGGAAACCGAAGCAAATGTTTGTGTATGTACTGTGTTAAGAAATGGGAGGTGAAACAGGAGAGGACAATCGAAAGATTGTCCAGTGTTGTCTATGGTCAATGGGAGACAATGTAATTAAATGTTTGGTGATGGCATCACACCAGTACAGGGGAGGAGAACCCCAGATTGCTGTGGGGAGTTTGGTCAGAGAAGGTTTACCAGACAAAGTACTCCCTAAGATGAAACCTGAAAGATTAGAAGCATTTAGCCATACCAAAGGGGTAGGGAGAAGACTGTTTTAAGCAAATGAAACAGCTTGTGTGAAAGCTCACCCAGTGAGCAACAGTGCCTGCGAAGCAACTGAAAGTCCAATGGAGGGCTGGCCCTGGAGAGGCAGGCCAGGACCAGATCCTAAAGTCCTTGGACACCATGTTTGAACTTTTACCTAAAGAGAAACTTTCACCTGAAGAGAAAGTGCGGGAGTAACAAATGACAAAATCTGCTTTTCAGAAGCAGAACAGAGGCTTTTAAAAGTGCTTTAGGGGGGCCTCCCTGGTGGCGCAGCGGTTGAGCGCCGGGTTGCGAAGCTGCCTACAGCCTCTGCAACGCTGGTTCAATCCCCGGCTGCTCCCCGGCCACCGGAAGAGGGTCCCACATGGCACGCAGACCTCTCCTGCTGCCCGCTGCTGCCCTCAGCAGTGTCTTCAGTCCTTCTGCCTGCTCTGCTTCCCGCTCTGACTCGGTGAATTCTCTCACCCTCCCGCCCTTCTGACTGTACCCTGTGCTTATATAAATAAATAAATAAATAAATAAATAAATAAATAAATAAATAAATAAATAAATAAATAAATAAATAAATATTTAAAAAAATATAGCACATTAAACTTTAAAAAAAAAAGTGCATTAGGGAAAACATAGAAACAAGTGTTTAATTCTGGATAGGATGTGAAGGAAGATGGTAAGAAAGAAAACACAAAATACAAGCAGGATGTCTTCTTTCCTTTCAAAAAGGAAAAAAAACAAAAAACAAAAAACAAGACCCTGTAAAAAACTCTAATCTCCCAAGAAGTGAGATTTTAGAAAAAAGACTAGAATCTGACCACCATCTACAACAAAAGTTCTAAGAAGAGCATGAAACTTTTGCCTCATTCACCACTATATGCCCAGTGGTTAGAAGAATGTCTTGCACACACAGGCAATAATACATATTTGCTGAATAAATGAACAAACTAACAAATGTGCACCATGATGAGTGACAAGTTCAACGCAGGGCACATATAAGGCCAAACTGAGAGCAGGCAGGAGAAGCTAATTTGTAACTGAAGGAATGATGAATTAGATAATTCAAAAAACAAGGTTAGAATATAAACAAATGGGCCTCCCCGGTGGCGCAGTGATTGAGCGCTAGGTTGTGAAGCTGCTTGCAGCCTCTGCAGTGCCGGTTCGATCCCCGGCTGCTCCCCAGCCACCAGAGGAGGGTCCCACATGGCGCGCAGACCTCTCCTGCCGCCCGCTGCTCCCCTCAGCAGTGTACTTCGGTCCCTCTGCCTGCTCTGCTCCCCGCTCTGGCTCTGGTGAATTCTCTCACCCTCCCGCGCTTCTGACTGTACCCAGTGCATGTATAAATAAATAAATAAATCTTTTAAAAAAATAAACAAATACATTTTATTACTATCTACGAGCTAAGTTAGTACTACAATGCCATTAAATTTTATATTTTAAAATTAATGTAACACTCTTCTTTCAAAATATTCTAATTCTGGGTGTAAATCAAAGATAGATTAAAATATTTCCTCCTTATTGAGAGATTTGTAACTGACCCAACATCCATTTTCTCATTAAAGAAAGACCGTTAATGGGCCTCCCCGGTGGCGCAGTGATTGAGCGCTGGGTTGCGAAGCTGCCTGCAGCCTCTGCAGCGCCAGTTCGATCTCCAGCTGCTCCCTGGCCACCGGAGGAGGGTCCCACATGGCGCGCAGAACTCTCCTGCCGCCTGCTGCTCCCCTCAGCAGTGTACTTCGGTCCTTCTGCCTGCTCTGCTCCCCGCTCTGCCTCTGGTGAATTCTCTCACCCTCCCGGGCTTCTGACTGTACCCAGTGCTTGTATAAATAAATAAATAAATCTTTAAAAAAAAAAAAAAAAAAGGAAAGAAAGAAAGACCGTTAACCCAAGGATTTACAGTGAACAACAAATGTCAGAATAATAGAAATATTCTGTGGATTCACACAATACTACCTTACTCTATTTTATAAAAGGTACAATATGTCCTGTGGTTGCACTAGAAAACAAGTTTTCTGTAAATAGTGACTTAATCACTTAAATCTTTTGATTGTTATTTAACTTTTAATTTTGAACCTTATTAGCTTTGATAAGAAGACACTGTTTTCCTTAACAGGATTCAACTATGACAGAACTGTCAATTATTACATATTCTACCTTTCATATTTTATCTTCTATTTTTAAGATGTAATTCAATGTACAATTTGGTGTCTATTCAGGGGTTTTTATTTTACTCACAAGGTTGCCCAGACATCACCACCTTCTGATTATAGAACACCCCAAATAGTAACCGCTTACCTATTCTGTCACTTCCATCCACCCTACTCTCATCCTTTGGCAACCATTAAATCTACTTTCTCATCTTTTATTTTTTTTCCCCAAGATTTATTTATTTGTACATACAAGAGCAGGAGTATAGGCCAGAGATGGGGGTTGGGGGGGGGTGAGAGGATTCACCAGAGACAGAGTGGGGAACAGAACAGGCAGACTGACTGAAATACACTGCTGAGGGGAGCAGCGGGCAAGACAGGAGAGGTCTGCTGCGCCATGTGGGCTGCTCCCTGGCCGGCTGGGTATTGAACTTGTGCTGCAAAGGCTGTGGATTGCTTCGTAGTGTGGTGCTTAACCCCTTGCGCCACCAGGGAGGTGCCCCTCATCTTTTATTTTTAATATGATCTATTAATGCATTATTTTTCAATTATCAGGAATATAAGTAAAAAGGAAATTCAACATAGATCGACATTGTATCATGGAAATCAGCCACAGATAATGCATAAATGAATGGATGTGGCTGTACTCCAATAAAACCTTATGCATAAAAAAGAGCAGCATTCTGGATTGGGCAGATGGATAGTAGTAGTTTTCTGATCAGTGGGCTAAGGAATGTTGAAATTCTCTATACTCTCCGCAATACTAGGCATTTACCAAATCTTTTATATTTGCTAATAAAATGAATGAAAACAGTATACTCATTTTTCTTTTTTTTTTAAATTATGATGGAAATCATCTTTTTTGTTGTTTATTAGACGTCTTTTGCCTTCCTTATAAACAGTCTATTCATGTCTGCTGTCTATGTTTAACAACATTTTCTATATAAAAAATATAGTCCTTTTCACCTGCATTGCAAATACTTTCTCATAATTTATATAACATTTTTGAGGGAAAAGAAATAACCTCAAACTTTTTTGCAATCAGATTTACAAATTTTTAAATATTTTTTGGAATTGAATCAGGTTTAGAAGAACCTTTAGCATGTTAATGTTTCCTTCTAGCACTCTTGTGGTTTTATTTTTGCTTTAAATCTGTCTATCTAGATCAACTTTAGAAAAAGTAATAAACCTAAGCAACCACTCTGCTTCTCTGTTCTGGTAGTCTCCCATCCAGATCATCTTCTGCTTTGTGACTGGGATTTCTTCCTGTCCTGTCAGATAAGGAACTCCTCTTCCTTTAAGGCACAGCTCAGGTATTATTTTTCCTGACATTAACCCACCTGGACAAAAATGACTTCTGTGTTCCCACTGTGCTCACTGTGCTCCAAAGAGACTTCTACCAAAGCATCTAGTATTTTTTGCATAGACCTGACTTCATACCAGTCTCATTTTTAATGTCAGACTTTACATAATATGGGGTGTGTGTGCGCACATGACTTTGGTGTATTAAGTACAACTATCTCTGGCATTCTTATCTGCTGACTTTAATACATGTCTCTGTCTCCGAGGTGCTTAATGTGTCTGTGTTTCTCTAGTTCCTACCAGTGGCACATGATAGATGACTATATGGTGATTATATAAGCAAATAACTTTAAAATATGGAATTTTAAAGTAGTAAACAGTTGATAGGCAGAGAACAATCCTTTTCAATGGCAGCATGAGCTTAAGTGCATTACTGTTACTTGGCAAGCCTTGCTGGATTCTACAATGGAGGGGTACTAGTAGATTACCGTGGATCTTAAGCAAGGTTTATCATCCTCCTGTTAAAAGAATCTAAGAAAGCATAAGCTTCCCAGAACAACTGGAAAAGAATCCCAAAATCTGTCATCTTACAAAAAAACATACATGGCAAATAAGATAAAATCCATACTTACATGATTGCAGTCTGCAGAAATTTCATTTTCAGGCTAAAAGGGAAAAAAAAAAAAAGATGATGTTTAAAAAAAACACCTCTCAAGTTTTCAAACACCACCAAAATAAACTCAAAACAAGAAATCTGAATATTCAACTCATTATGCTTCTTCAATACATAGCATAAAATGGGGCTTATACATCTTTTAGATTGCTGGAGAGAAACATGCTAGAAATGTAGATGAGATCAATGATACAATTTGGAAATGGGGAAAATGGAAAAGAATGTAATAGAAAGAAATAAAACAATATGACATAAGAATTCTTTTTAAATATATAACATATATTATTACTGAATTGCTTTTATAATTTTAAGCATATAAAAATGTTGCACGGTTTTATGTTATGATGCTAGAATAAAATGTAAATATGTCTCAAATTATAATGTGCTCCAGATTTTCTTAATTTAGACTGGTACGTAAAACAATTTAAAAGCCTAGCTCCAATTTTCCTCTCTAAGTAGAACTGCCACCTAACAGATTTGCTTAAGGCTTTAGTTATCATCGAGAAACATGATCTGAATTAGGATCTTGGTATCATTTACGGCCTAACTCACGCCTCTCACAGTTATCTCAATCAATATTGACTGAAAGCTCACCATGTATATGGTTCTGGATGAGGCATTTTGATTTAAAAGGTAGAAATGCGTTAGATACCCATGGCACTGGCTTAACTTGAAGTGCTTTTTGATAATTATACTTATTCAGAACAATTCCAGTTCTTTTACTTTTTTTTCTTCACCACCAACCCTTCTGAGGCCTTCTTTTACCCTTCCCTCCCCCCCCCACCTTAGCCTCAGAAACCTCATTTCATTTATTAGCGTCCACTGGTTTTTTGTTTTTGTTTTTAAGATTTATTTATTTATTTATTTATGCAAGCACTGGGTACAGTCAGAAGCATGGGAGGGTGAGAGAATTCACCAGAGCCAGAGCGGGGAGCAGAGCAGGCAGAAGGACCGAAGCACACTGCTGAGGGGAGCAGCGGGCGGCAGGAGAGGTCTGCGCGCCATGTGGGACCCTCCTCTGGTGGCCGGGGAGCAGCCGGGGATCGAACCGGCGCAGCAGAGGCCGCGGGCAGCTTCGCAACCCAGCGCTCAACCGCTGCGCCACCGGGGAGGCCCAAGGTCCATTGATTTTTTTTTTTTTTTTTAAAGATTTATTTATTTATTGTATTTATTTATACAAGCACTGGGTACAGTCAGAAGCAAGGGAGGGTGAGAGAATCCACCAGAGCCAGAGCGGGGAACAGAACAGGCAGACTGACGAAGTACACTGCTGAGGGGAGCAGCAGGCGGCAGGAGAGGTCTGCGCGCCATGTGGGACCCTCCTCCGGTGGCCGGGGAGCAGCCGGGGATCAAACCGGCGCTGCATAGGCTGCGGGCAGCTTTGCAACCCAGTTCTCAACCGCTGCGCCACCGGGGAGGCCCGGTCCATTGGTTTTTAAAGGTATTTTATTTTGTCAAATAATCTGCCATGTAAATGTCTAGTATGTGTCTGTCAATCTGATTTGCTCTCCTACACATAATTCCTTCAAACTCCTTCCATTTTGTTGGACATAAGGATTCTCACATGGCATCTGAAAGCTGGAGACAATCAGGCACAATACAGGTTTTTTGGTGGTTTTCTTTTTTCTTTTTTTTTTTAAAGAAAGCTTAGATAAAAGGTTTATTGAAGAGGGCACAGAAGGTCCTTTGGTGATTTAAAAATTAGTTGAATGTCACCATTAGGGAAAGTTAGGTGATGGATACCCAGGACCTCTATGTACTGTTTGCAACTTCGAGTCGATAACCTTGTGGAATCTATACTTAAAAATAGGAAGATTTTAAAAACAGAAATTATATATATATTCCCATGAATATATCTGCTTTGAAAAGCCAACAATGTACAAAAGATAAAATGAACTTTCAATTTCTTTTTTTTTTTTTATAAATTTTATTGTTATATTCCCCATACAATTGCAGCCCCCCCATTCTGACCCCAATCCCTCCCCTCCCGCCCCTGCCCCCCTAAAAGTGTCTCTGGTTCATAGTTTTTTGTTGATTTTGATTTTCACTTTCTTATAGTTATTCATTTTCCTGGTCCCTTATTTAAGTTTTCTAGATTCCTGCTATGAGTGAGACCATCCGGTATTTTTCTTTTTCTTTTTGGCTTATTTCGCTGAGCATGATCCCTTCCAGCGCCATCCATGTTGCTGCAAATTGCATGTGTTTATCTTTTTTGAATGCTGAGTAATATTCCATGGTATATATGTACCACATCTTCTTGATCCAGTCATCTATTTTTGGGCATTTGGGTTGTTTCCAAAGCTTAGCTATTGTAAACAGTGCTGCTATAAACATAGGGGTGCAGGTGTTCTTTGAACTTTCAATTTCATGGTGGAAAAGTAGGGTAAGGTTATGCCTAGTATTGCATAGTTTTGCAATACACATCTTAGTTTCCTGTTCATACCATTAAAGGATATACAACTACAATAACGTAAATAATAGTAAAGCACCATTACTTTTGAGTTTCTACAGCATTCCTCTGTTCAAAGGAGGTAGAGTGTGAGCACTCTACAAAATATTACCAGTATCAGTTGCAAAACATAATCATTTTCAAAACAAAAAGAGGCTTTCTCTTTAAAGACATTGATAAGAGGGCCTCCCCGGTGGCGCAGCGGTTGAGCACCGGGTTGCGAAGCTGCCCGCAGCCTCTGCAGTGCCGGTTCGATCCCCGGCTGCTCCCCGGGCACCGGAGGAGGGTCCCACATGGCATGCAGACCTCCCCTGGCACCCGCTGCTCCCCTCAGCAGTGTGCTTCGGTCCTTCTGCCTGCTCTGCTCCCTGCTCTGACTCTGGTGAATTCTCTCACCCTCCTGTGCTTCTGACTGTACCCAGTGCTTGTATAAATAAATAAATAAATCTTAAAAAAAAAAAAGTATTTCCTTTAAAAATAAATAAATAAATAAATAAATAGAGACAGACATGGATAAGGCAATAAAGGAAACAGTAAATACAGGTTCTTCCCTTCCCCCCACTCCTATATGAAAGCAGAGCATTCTTATCAAACATTTTGTAAGGTGAAATGGTGTAAAAAAACAACTATCATTGATTTATATGGAAAAATTTTTGAACATTCCTAGACTCAAGAAATAACCTAATACCAAATAACACAAAAACCTAAACCTAAAATAACACTAACATAAAATAAAACCAGGAATGAGGTGACAAATACACCGCCAGGCAAGAGGCTTGGCGGGTCGCTCTCAATGCTCTGGGGGCTCACTGACTGTAGAACAGCTGCTGAGAAACGAACGGTCAGCACTCTTTTCACTTTTGTCCTAAAAGCAAAAATCCTCTTTGGATTTCTTTTAGTTATTGAAAACAGGTATGAGCATAGGACTCTGGTAAAAGCAAAATAGCATAATACAAACTTTAAAAAAGCAGAGGATCCAGTATTAACAATTTAAGGTGCCACACCCCGGGCTACCTCAGGAAGAAAAGGCTTCTAGGGAACTATTAAGTCTACTGCAAGTCTACTGCTTTTTATTTATTCACAAAATATGATATTAAAACTAACTTTAATTAGATTGCTAAGATTATAACATATTACTCTTGAACTTTCTTCCTACTTCACTGAGAATAGCAATTTTAGTGCTTTTCTGAAGTGTCTGAGTCTCAAAAACCAGCCTCCACACTGTAAGTATAGATTAACTCTGTTCCCCTCCAATTCCAAGTGCTTAATTTATTTCTCTTAAAAGTTTATTAGCAAGAAAGCTTTATTCTATTTTAGAACAAAGAAAATTTCTGTCAACTTCAACTTTTCTGAATATGGAAAATTCAAAAGGCAAGGAGTGGAAGGAACTCCACAAAGAAGTCAGAGGAAGAGAGAGCAAGGTAATGACCGAATAAAGCTCTGGAAGACATTATTCAGTTCTCTATTACCCTCTAAAATGCCACAGGTCAGCCTGTGCAGGCCTGGTGCTATGAATTAAAGCTGAGTACCAAGGGCCAGAAATTAGATATATATAAGCAAATCTGAAAACATGTGTATCTGAATTGAAAGGCTATTCCTGACACAAAAGGTCAAGATCCTGAAACCATCACAAAGAAAAAAAACAGATGGACAAGGGGGAAACAGCTCTGAAAGTTCTCAGAGAATGTATCTTCCTGAAGTGGTAGCTATCCTTGAAGGGTCTACTGCTCTCTGAGAGGAAGCTGAGAGAGTGGAGATGACAACTTCTGCCCCCATGTTGTGTTTGCCTTCTGCAGCTGTGACTGGAAAGATGGAGGAAATGGAAGAGCAATGGCCACAGGAGTTGTATGGTGTCAGAGGGCGTGCGGCCCAGGGCACAAGCTGCCCTGCAGACACAGAAGCCTGGGTCTGTGGTTTCATGTGGGATAAGTCTGGATACCTGAGAATCGGGAGAATGTCTGCACTCTTCCTGCTCCCTGCCTGCATTTTCCATCCTGAACCTGGGAATTAGGTGCTGTGTCCAGAGGAATAAGGTGTTCATGGAAAGCATCCAGTGAGACACTATTACCAGGGAAAAGGTTACAGCTGAGATGACCCCATGGCACACTCAATCAACTCCATGGAGTTGCTGACAGCTGAACTCAGGCCCTCTATGCCCGCCATGCTCTCTGAATCTAAGTTTAATGACTTCAGACTGCTTAGTATTTTGAACCAAAGTGATAGCTGTGCTTCTCTCCTTGCGTCCCAAAACACATTCTTAATATATAATATATAAAAGAAACTTTATGAAAGATTTTTTAATAACCTTAAATCTATGGTATGTTTCTGGGATAAAAAGAACACTTTTCAAGTATTACTTCCACTTGCAGCTTTTCTGTATTATTTCTACTGCTTAAAAATGTTCAGTTAGGGAGATACCCACATGGTGCGGCAGACCTGTCCTGTCTCGCCTGCTGTTACCTTCAGCCGTGCTTTTGGTCCATCTGCCTGTTCTGCTCCCCGCTCTGTCTCTGGTGAATCCTCTCCCCGTCCCGCGCCTCTGG